GGATTACTTGTAGCAGCTCAAGACCAGGCAATAAACACCGGAAACTACCAGAAAAAAGTAATATGTGGCCAGCCATGCCAGTGGAGAGTAAATGCAGATTGTGTTCGCAACATGAAGAGACAGTGGACCATATTGTATCTGGATGTGAGGTATTAGCCAAAACAGAGTACATCTCCAGGCACAATAATGCTGCAGCATATCTTCATTGGAGCATATGTAAAGATCATGATATAGAGATTACAGAAAAATGGTATGAACATGAACCAGAGATCGTGACACACAATAAAGATAACAACATCACCATCATGTGGGACATGCCAGTCAATACTGATAGAACTATAACAGCCAACAGACCAGATATCATCGTTAAAGATTCAGTGAATTCCACCTGCAAACTTATTGATATGACTGTTCCATCAGATAGAAACATTGCACTGAAGGAAACTGAAAAAAAATGCAAGTACAAAGACCTAGAACTAGAAATACAGAGAATGTGGCATATGAAAACCGTAGTGATCCCTGTGGTTGTTGGTGCACTTGGTACAGTGAAGAAGGGTATGGTAGAAAACATCAAGAAAGTATCAGAGAGAGCTACTATGACAGAGATTCAAAAGATCTGCATGCTGGGATCTGCACGAATCCTTAGAAAGGTGCTCAATGTATGAACAGAATGATTGACTTGAGTGACTGACGCTCTAGGTGCATGGTTTGCGCCCGGCTGATGCACAAAAAGAACACCAGCAAAGACTGTGATAATAGAGATAATAATAATAATAATAATAATAATAATAATAATAATAATAATTAAATAAAATAATTAAAATCTTTATTACAAAACCTCAATTAAAATCCTATTTACAATCAACCTGCTGTTACAAAAAATCTAATTAATTCATCAAAACACTATCTACAATTCCATCCGTTACAAAAGAAACCCCTTGGCCTTCATTAGAGAACAAAAACAATCCTATATATAATAAGTGAAGAAAGAAACGATTCATTTACAAATTCTAAAAAATAGAAGTAACTTAACCTTACATAAAAAAAGAGGAAAAAAAATTATTAATAATAAAAATTCAAAATTCTATAAAATAAAGAATTCCATTATGCAGAGATATTAAGATCATACAATCGAATTATACTAATGACGGCTAAACCAGTGTCCATAAAAAGCCCTAAGTAGAAGCATATAGACACATATTTCAGATATCCGCACTAGCAACATTTATTTTACAGTCTAATGATTGCTCTATCTTGCTACGAAATGGCGTTCGCGAACCTCTGACGCATGCATGTACCGATCTTAAGAGTTCAAACGAGATCTGTGTCCTGAGCCAAGTGATTACAACATGATATGGCTCAGTGTCTTTCTGAGCTATCTTGTCTGCAAGATGCTTTAAGAACCGCTGACACTCGTTTCCCATTCCGCCATTGGTTCCAAACACTAAAGGCGTAAACGAACCCATTTCTACATCTAACACCCGCTGCTGGTACTTGCGCTTCTTCTCTTCTTCTTGCTCTTTGAACACTTCCGATGTTGGCTTGCTCTGGTAACACTTGGAGTTGACATGCGTAACTCTAACATCAAAAAATGCCGTAACTCCTCTTGCTCAGAGGCCTCCCGCTTTGATGTCCAACCTTGCCTCAGAACTTGTAACAGCGCTCCTCAAATGAAATCGCTCCTTGTCGAGGGGTTGAAGGCGTGGTTCGATTTCGACATTATTGCAGATCTTGTCGATGAATGTCGTTAACAAGTTCCGTACACCATCATGTCTCTGCGCTACAAACCCCCCCTTTTTACAAGAGAGGGCGTGACTAACGGTGAATTTATCCCCACATATGCAATGACTTGGTAAATCGACTAAGGGTAAGTCATAACGCAAGCGTAGCGAGTCTCTGAACTCTTGCTTGTTGAGGGCTAAACCTTTGTCTGCGAGAGGCATCGCATTCAGCCAAGAACTTGCGCCCTTGTCCCTCGATTGATTAACCAGACGCAGCAGGCCTGGGGAGAGGCTTGAATCAATGCTATCCATTTTCTCTTTGGCACTTGCTCTCTTAAGTGATTGTTGATGCCTCTTTAGCTCCTCCGTAGATCTTTCTCCTGGCACCATGATGGAACTCTGTGATGTAATAGAATCTACGTGGGCGGTGGTTATTAGTCTCGAGGCAGCAAACTGCTGCGGTGCCTCGGATTTCAGATCAGGAATGCCTAGACCCCCTTGACCCGTTGCTAAGGTAGCAAGTCTGCGCACCTCGTTAGGGAGAGGCTCTGATTGACCGAACAAAGTAGGGAGTAGTAAATCTTCAATCACTTCCTGGATTGGATCGACATAATCTTCAAACGATTCAATCGTGCGCATGAAGTAGGTGAACTTCGACTTGTAGCCTTTTGTGAAAGCAATATACGCCGCATGGGGCTGGCTCTTCGCTATTTCAGAGAGACGTTCGATTTCCTCTTTCCATGCACGAACCTTCTCCTCACAATACTGATCTTTGTATTCTTGCGACGCAATAACTGCTCCCAGATGGCGCTGACCTTCAGTGGTTATGTTGACTTCCTCTCCAAACACCCTCTTTGCTTCCTCCACGAGTTCCCTAGACTTCACAATAAGCCAGCTCTTTGTCCCATTCACAAGGTAACCAAACTTTTGACCTTCCTTACTCAATTGCCTGTACCAGTTGTATAAGTGCACTATACTCCCTCCTCCAGCTGAGTTGTCTTCAAGCCACACCTGTTTAACCAATGGGCAATGATCCCTCAAATTCTGTATCATTATGGATGTATTAAGTGCGTACCATGGCATCGCTAGCGGATCTCCTTGTGTGTTGCCTTCTCGAGAAAGTATTTCACCTCCCCCACAAATAAACAGTCTAGATGGGCTTCTGTATGTGTTAATAACATAGAGCGCCATTTCTTTGCACATGATCTGGATATTGTGTAAGGCCGCTGACCTATTCATTTGGTTAAAAGCGTTACTAGCATCAATTAGCAATATTCCATCTGTATAATAATAATAATAATAATTAATAAACTTCTTAACATGAGGGTGACATAATTGCCTTTTCCAGGCTACCCTTACCCACTGCAACTTTAAGTGGCAAACCAGGCCTGGCTTGGCCTGGCCAGGCTTTGCCATGCTTTTGACCACACCCCTTATGCAAGGTCTCTTACAATAATACTTAAGTTATTAGGAGAGGAGGTAAAGAAAACCAACTGGCAGAAGGATAACCAGTAAGTGTGGCCAAGGGGTTGTACCTCGGGGATAACAAGAAACAAAATCCCGTGAGTCATCAGGAAGGGACGAACCTGGGACTGCAGGATTATGAGGCAATTGATACATAACTAAAGACGTTCTGCTTGGCCCCAGCTAGCCTGAGATCATGCCCTCTCCCTATTATCTCTAAATTTCAAAAAATGCCTGATCACATGTGGGATGAAATTATCAGAGGTTAAGCGTTTCTGATGCTATTTAGCTCTGACTCAAGACAGCACAAGATAATCTAGCAATCTTACATGGAGATACTTGGCAGGTTTCTTGGGACTGGGACCATCTTCAAGCGATTCCTATTTTGAAAATGATAATAAAAGAATCATAAATTATGGATGAAATGGTCTTGAACATTCATTGCTACTCAGAGTTTCATGCTTCTTGTGAAGCAATCATTGGGCAACTGCCAAAAGTAACAGTTACATTATCAAATAATATATAGAGAAAATAGAACAATAAATCCTAGGCGTGGCACATCACATCACTAATTAAGTGATGCCTACAAAGGTCATGTCACATTTGTAACAGACTCTAATAATCAAAGGAAGGCAGTTTTCAAAAGAAATTTCCTAGAATGTTTACTGAAAACAATATCTAAATTCAGGGTTGTCATTAAGAGCCGGGGGCCGGGGATTTTCCCCGGCTACTAAGAGAGTGGCCCCCAGCTACTTTTATTGGAAAATAGAAGAAAAATAAAACCACAAGAAATGCCTAGCCGTTTGATTCTCACACAACCATTTTAAATACCTTTTCATCTTCATGTGTTAAAAGGTGTTCTATTACTAGGCCTTCTGATTCCATCTCCTCCAGTATTGTGACAACATCCCAGCCACCATGTACCACTGATGGGAACAGGTCTGACCTCATACTATCTCCAAAATACAAAACCTACAGAGGCATTAATGAACATAAGGGCTAGCAAAATAAAATATTTTGGACTGGAAAATATCAATTAAGCATATAATGAACTCCGGGTCAAAGATAAAATTTTTTCCTGGCTTAAGGCCATCCCCTTTTTTTTCATTTAGCGTCAAATGCATTTCCTGATATTGGGTTGGTCGGTTGGATTAAAAAAACCTAAAAAAACAAATCACAAGAAGTCTCGGAATTGGAGGCCCTGGTACCCCAGGACAACATTAAAAGTTAACATTTACATATTTGGATTAACAAAATATAGTGTAAAAATGTTCCATTTTGTCCCTGTTTTTCTCTATGTTGTTACTATGCTCATTTTTCAGAGCAAAAGAATTATTTCAAGTGAAAAATGGTTTAACTAAGTCGTTACTTCTTTTTTTGTTTGAAAATGCTAAAAATATGGGGTGGTTGGATGACGCTACATGGAGAAAAAAAGAGGATGGCCTAAGTGGCCAGTGAAAATTATCTTAATCCTTAAGTCCTCCAGACTGATCACCAACATTTCCTTAAGGAATTAGTTGAAAGAATTTAATTTAAAAAATCAAAGCAATTTGCATGTACCTTAGATAATCATTAATATTGTTTTATTCTCATGACCCGTTCTCTTGATAATGTATAGATATTATTTGGAGAAAATTGACCATGGTCACGCCTGGTAATTAAAAGGTTACATACCTTAAGGTTTTCTTTGTTGGTTTGTTTTTGAAGAAATGCAGTGAAGTCCCTGTGATTCCCTCTGCTATAAATTCTATTTTGCTGAAGCTGTTTTACAGGATCACCTTCTCTTTCACCATCTGTTAAAAGTTTAAATAAAGATTTTATTAAGAAATGATGTGATTGATCAACATGTCACGAGCATGGGGCATGTCAGGACGCATGTCATACATGAACTGTGTGTATGGCACAGCTAGCCACGAGTCCTTCGTAGCTCAGTGGTTAGAGCATCTGACTGGTGCACGGACGGTCATAGGTTCAATTACTGTCGCGAACTCAGACATTTTTCTTAGTTCAATATATATGCTCTTGACATGCTGATCACATCATTTCTCATTTCTTCACCTGGCTTAAAATTTACCATCTTTCTCTTTTTTATTACCTTTGCAGCTCAACAAAATGAACACAGTCATACTGTACACTAAACTGAGATAATTTTTCTACACATGAAAAAAATAATCATTCAGACGTTTTGACTAGTGGTCACATTTTCAAGTTGGTTCTCTCCTCATTTAAAATGCCTTTTTAAGGGTTTGCATCCATGAATCAAGTAAAAGAATTGAGACTTGATTCTTGATGATTACATCTTAAATCTCAAAACTCAATTATTACTGAAAGAATTATTAAACCAGAAAAGAGTTTGTCAAAGTTTTCAGTAATTGGCACCTCTCTTCTCTTGAAACTAGTTAGATGCAACTATCAACAGCCTTTATGCAACTGTCAAGTAACCAACTTACATCTTGAGGAAACAACTTGAAATGACCTTTCAAGCATTACAGTTTATCAAGCACAATGAATTTATAGCCAGGCCAGCCAGACAAAACAATACCCAAAACCCGACAGCCAAAACCAGTCAATAAAATGAAAATGTAAATCAAAACACAGGAGCATTATTCAATATTTTTACCAATCTCATAAAACTGGGTTAGTTGTTCTTCGGACTTGAAAAAACCTGCAAAAATTATTAATAAAAAAATAAATAACATTTTAAATATAAATTAATCACTAGGTTATAATTTGTACTTTGTTCATGATCACATTTAATATGTATCCCTCTTGGCTGACTGCTAGCTCTGGCATGATGTTCGATGTGTGTGAATGACTTTATAGATTTTCATGTATACAAAATGTAGCTATCCATGCATGTGGCCAGTATAGTGTAGAAAAAGCCTAAATCTTTCTGATCACTAGTCTTAACATTATCATTGATTATCATCACATCTGGTAATTTTAAAGGCCTCATGGTAAGAGGTTGCTTATCAAAAGTATAAAAAGTGACTGACAAATTCAGGTTAAGTTATTAAGCATTATGATAACTTAGGAGAAATTTGATGTTGATCTTTACCGGACTAAAACAGCTTTATACAATGCATAAGCACCTTCAATCTTAACTTTCAGGACATAAACTGTATTATTATAAATTATGCATTAAAAATAATTATCAACAGTTGGTATGACCAGAAAAAACATGAGTTTGAAAGAAACCTGGTTTTCCAGCCATGGAAACAACAACATCAAACATTTCTGGCCAATGTTCCCTAAACAAGACGTGTAATAGAGACAAAAGTAAAGTTAACACTTTTACTATTTCAACATGCTCATCGCATTTGGTTCTATCCTTCTCTTCTGGACCATTACTTAATAAAAAAGCACATATTAAGTAAAATGCTAAGAGGCTAGGTACAACCAAATTCAAGAACATCATCATCAACATATGAAATCATCACCATTATCATTACCACTAACACCACCATTATTACCACTACCAACATCATCATCAGCCACAGCCGCATGAACATCATCATCATCATCATCATCAACCCATTCGCTCCCGGCCTGGAGATTTTGCCGAAAAACACATTTTGAAGGTACTCGAGTGGTTTTCTGGTCACTGTCATGCTATAAAGAGCTAAACCTTACCACAAACCGGTTTACAGGTCATACACTTCACAGCCTTCTGATTCAGATGCAAAATATCAGCTTGTGAAGTTCGGGCATGCGCAGAAAGCAAAATTTCGAGATAGTTTTTGGGTTTAAAAGTGACACAGCAGTCTTGACTTTTACTTTTCGCTTTCTCTCCTCCCCTCTTTTTTCGCTTTTCTTGCCTCATTTTTTTTCTCTTGCTGGGCATTTAGTAGGCTTCATTTTGGTGGGAATATAGTTTTTAGGAAAGCTTTTAGGATCTCAGGATTAGGTGAAAGGAAAGGTAGGTGAGCAAAGGAACAAGATTTTCATGGAGATTTTCAGGTCAATACTACATGGTTTTTTGCCTCTTTCTCCGGTGTCCTTGACTGAATTGTGCTCATTCTGGTATGGTTTGAAAGATCTCTTCACTCTGCACAAGTTAGCGGACAAAGTTGTCCTTGACTGTTAAAACTGATGACGTCACAAAGGGTAGAAAGGACGTGGATCCGCACGGGCGGTTACGGGCGGTTACGGGTGGTTCAGGGGCGAATGGGTTAAAATCATCATTATCATCATCATCATCATCATCATTAAAATCATCATTATCATCACCATGATTATCATTGCAACCATCATAAAGGTCATACAATATCATCTTCCTCATCATTATTGTCATCATTAATCTTATGATGTGGGACCTCAAAGGGGGGAGCAATGGTTCCACAGTACCAAAAATCTTAATCATTATGCTAAAATTAATAAGTATTCACCCTTACCCAACAGCAAAATTCATAAGAAGATTTGTGTAGTCAATGTATGAGTTGGTGAGGAGGAAGACTTTTTGCTTTCCATCTCTTAATGATTTAATCCAGTCAATAATTTTCTTGCTACATGGCTTTATAAATTTCGATGTGTTTTTTGTTATAACAGGAAAGAAGTACCCATTTTGATCTGAAAATAAAATAAAGAAAGAATTTCAAAAGTAGGTTGAGTTTGATCGTCTGGATGAATGTAGTCCTGAATAGGACTGTTGTTGTTGACAGTGACTGACGTTCCGACAACCTGTGCGGCAATCATCTTCAGAGTCAAAGTGAGGTGTATCACGTCAGTTGATGGTATTATACTACTCTGGTTTTCGATCTGATTGGTCAATTACGTCGTGATGTTACTGGTCATCTGTCAGTTAAGCCGTGATGTTATTAGCTATGAAGACTCGTAATCAGTAATTGGTGCATTTCAATCCGTCTATTGTCACAGTTAAACAGTCATCTATTGTTAGTCAAATTGTCATTCTCTCTCTCTTACAGACGACCAATAACATCGCGACGTAATTGGCCAATCAGATCAATAACCAGAGTATAATACCATCAACTGATGTGATACAACTCACTTTGACTCTGAAGATGACTACTGCACAGGTTGTCCAAACGTCAGTCACTGTCAACAACAACAGTCCTATTCAGGAGTACGTTCACCCTACTTTTGAAATGACTCCTGGGTTCAAACCTTTCACAAATAAAGAATTGACGCAAAGTCAAAGTAACTTATGGTATTCATTACTACAGGTACACAGCAATGAATTTTTTCAACAAAGGTTATTACAAAATCAACCAAAATTTATCATCACAATATAATTTGTTACAATAATACATTTATGCTCCCTTTAGATGTGCAAGCAAGCCCTGATACAAACACTATCAAACAAACAAAAAATAAAAATATTAATGACTTACCAGAAAAGTTTAGTGGATTAAAAACATGTCTTAACATATAAATTACATCAGGCCAAAAATTGTATTTTTCCAATCTTCCATTCTAGCAGAAGAAGAAAAACAGCAAAAAGATCACATTTACAATTCTTTGCACCAGCAAATTACAGATAACATTATTGTGATCAAACTTTGCTTACTGCTGATAATTGTAGGAAAAGTCATGTCCATTACCTTTTTATCTATTATATCAATGAGACGTGCACATATTACCATCACAGGAAGGTCAAAGTAATTCTCAAACACTCTAAACATGGAAGCTGTACCAGAAAAAGAAATCATACATGTACCATAATATTAAAATAAAATTATTGTTTTATTTGCTTATACTGGTTAAAGAAAATTGATATAGATAATAATTTTCTGAATGAAAATCATTTTCACCAATAGATGAGCTTAGGTGCTGGTGCCTACAAGGTTGTTGGAGATGGCAAAGCTCTAGCAAGAGGAAGGAGGTATCCATGGCAATCCTGCAAGCAGCCTCAACCAGACACCGCCACACAGAACAGTTTAGTGGAATACTTACTGACCAATACTTACCCAGTGCTGTCAACTCTCGCGGATAATCTGGGAGACTCCAGATTTTGAACCGTTTCTCCCAGTCTCCAAATAAGACACCGAAATCTCCCGAATAATCACCAAACTTCGCCATTTCTTGTAGATTCGACTTAATGACAAGGAAATTTCAAATATTTTGTGTTGTTTGAGCTATTTTGCTGTTAACATTGAACGTTTCCTCACAAACTCAGGTATGCCATTGTAATATAAGTGGTAAAGTGATTAGTGGGAAGTAAACCAATCAGGTCAAATGTTACAATTCCAACAACATCTTTTTTGCAAGTTATTGCACAATTAATGATGTCATGTGTAATGTTTATTATGACGTCATCTATCATCCCTTCCCTATCAATTCTCAATAATTATTTGAAGACGTGGGGGGTTGACAGCCCTGCCTACCTAGCCCTGAGTTAAAAAAAGAGGGACAGAGGGTTGGGAGGAACACAGCTAAAAATGGCAAGCAAGAAACAAGGCTATAATGAAGACACTTTGAGAACAATGGGTTAGTACTTTGAGGCTATGAAAAAGACAAGATAATTTTCTTATTTAGTGATTTACACATTTTAAAAGACAGTGCATTTACAGCAGTTAAAAGGTATGTGAAAAGGGGTACCAGTAGTCAATAGAAGGTATAAGAAAGGCTACTGCCATCCTTATGAATATTATTTTGAAAAACTGACTCTCCTCAAACTCCCATCGGAGCATTGGAAATTTCTCACTACATTGTGGTCTGTCCTTTTGGCATGATAGGAAATTTATGCAACCATGATGATGACCGCAGTAAAAGCAGAAACTTTCAGATAACATTACAAGTCAATAATGTACAAATTGTGTCTTACATTGTTGACTTGGATTTTCTTTCAGGCTGTTAATCTCGGGCCATATGCTCTTTTCTCCATACGTATCTGTAATTTCTTCTCTTGTCATCTGTTTTGTACCATGTGTTGCCCTTATAAAAATTAATGGTAAAAAGCATGAAAAAATTTCTTTTGGCTAAAAGGCATGTATTTCTATGGCGAAAATGGATGTTCATTTTTGCGCCACTAATTTGTACATGTATGTAACACTGTACACAAGGTTGGTGTTTTTCAATGACCATGTTGATGAGTTTTTTGGTAACAGTTCGGATGTAATTTAATTAAAAAAAAAAAAGTAGTCATTGCAGTGAAGTGTTGGCTATTATAGTGTAAATTTGATTAAGTGCAAAAGAGTCAATAAGTGGTCAATGAGTAATGAGTCAATAGTTTGCATCTCTCAGATTTGCCACCAGTAACTGCTTTACAGTAGATACTGTATAGTGACAAACCTAAACCTAAATAAATGCTAACCACTTTTGAGTTAGTCATTAACCCTATAACCACTGTTGTTACTTTTTTAAAATGTTATGAAAGGCTACAATGTGAAAAAAGGACCAACACTTATCAAAACTAAAATTACCAGTAATTAACCCTAATCTTCATTGTCAATGCAATTACCCTCATCAATATTTTCACCTGCCACTTAACCCAAACCTGAATCATAGCTTCACTCATGACTCATTGACTCGTTTAACTCATAAAACAAGCTTTCCCTGTTTCGAGGGGTGGACGACATTTGATTCCTGCAAAATCAGCTGATCAAAATAGCCATTGTGTATTTAACAATTAATGAATGAGGCTGAGTATCTTATGAAGAATTATGGAGATCGAGGAGGGTGTTATCCATCAAGGCCGTAGGCTGAGGCGGATAACACCCTCCGAGATCTTCATAATTCTTCATATGATACGAAAGCCGAATTCAATAATTGTTTTATTACTCATTCAAAATAATTCCTAGATTAAAAACATGGCTAAAACATGATGACCTCCATCAATCCATCGATGTAAAGTTCATCTTCGATAGTGCACGTTTAGGTTTGTGCAGCTCCACAATATTCTCCAAATAGCAGATGTCGCCCTTCAAGTTGTGTACTTGCTGTTCTTGTCATGTTTTTAGCTATTTTTTCGCCTAGTTCTTACCCTTGAAACGAGTGAAATGTCCGCCATTTTTCAAGTTCACAAGCAAAACAACTCAACCTCGTCCCCAGGTCTTCTCGGTTACTGGTGCCTTAACCTGCGAAAACGCTGCATTTTTTACGTCATTTCCTTGTTAAACTAAAAAATCCTTCCAAATTTGGTCATCAGTAACTGGTTATGGTGAATTAAACGTGTGCTTTTAGCCAATCAGAATCGGGAAAATATTTTGAATGAATAATAAAAAGTGTTAAGTATTAGTAAAACCCAACTAGTGGTTTATTATCAATGCTGCGTTCTGATTGGTTGAGCTACTACTAGGCTATAAGTTATAGTCCACTAGTAGCGAAAAGCGCTGGCTTTTCAGTGGCAAAAAAGGATTAAAGTCTAGCTTTAACTAGCTAAGGTTATTTTGTCTCGATATTATTGACCAACTAGTTGGATTTTACTAAAACAACATTATTCCTCGAGCCTGAATGGGCTCTGAGTCAATAGCCCATTCGGGCTCAAATTATTGTTAAACATCTTGTTCTCAAGGAAACCAATTAAATGACACAACACAGACACCATATATTCCAGAAACTGCAAATGGCTGTAGCACAGAGTTTTAATACCAACCTCAGTATAAACCCATCTTTGTCAATTTTCAGGATATTTCCTTTTTGTGTGTCCAAGATCAGTCCCCTAAGACTGGAGAAAAAAAAAATGTCAGCTGCAGTGTAAGTATACATGAAAGTAAAAAGGTATAGTCAGCTTATAGTTTTATGGGAAAAGCAATATTTATAAAAAAAAACAATAGCAATAAGCATGTCATTAAATGAAGGTTCATTTTTATGATTACTATTATGCAATACTGACTTGGCCACTGGTAGGCTAGTGTAAGGCTGAATAAATGACTGTTTATTTTGTTACTTTTTTGATTACCTTGAACAACCTATGATACACAATCTGGTGTACAGCCATGATCTCTATATAAATATTTGAAAAAGGATGAGAATGGATAAGGCTTTGCAAGCTGAAAATACGGTCATTCATACCAAAAGTCCTTGAGGTCTTCAAAGTTGTCTTGCAATAAGCTGGAATCATAGCCTTTGTCTTTAACCAAGGCTTCGGTGAATATTTTATAAATAAACTGGAAAAAAAGAAAAGAACTTGATAAGGTATATCATAGAAAAAGCCGCTTGCTGAATAAACTAAAACAATATGATACTGAACAAACATCCCCATGATGTGATCCCACAGGGATATGGGGGTACTCAGGACTCAAAGCAGTGTTTATCTTAGGAGTTGGCCAATGAGGGCCTCATGATCACATACATGAGCCATTTCTGAAATTGTAAAGGGTTCTGTTTCACGAAGGGAATTTTAAAAGGCCTAAGGAATTTAATCCTTTTTGTACCAACTGGTTTGAAATTAACTTTCTTTTGATCAACACTCTTTTTCTTCTCTTCCTCAGTTTTTTTTTTCTTTTTTTGTCTTCATATTATTTTCAACCTTGCTGCAAATTTAATTTCTCAAAGAGTTCTGATCCTTTGGTTAACTGCATCAAGTTACATTATTTTCAACAAAAGTAACAAATAATTTGCTTAAAAAGCTTGTCATTTCAGATTTCAGTTACAGAACTTTTCATCACAACTTGAAAGACATCAGCACTTCTGTATTCAACTCTATTCACTGCTCGCGATTATGTGTTACCCTTGGAGTAACTTTGAGCCTCCCACATGACAGTGTATCACATATCACCGATTATTTATTTATCATTTCTTTCATGATACACATGGCCTATGCCACAGGTAGGGTAGTTCACTGCAAAGGTTGTTCAAAGCCTGTTTAACTTTAATCCTGGATTACTATGGGTTATAGGAGACAGGGTGGCCAAGTGGTTAGAGAGCTGGACTCGCAATTCTGAGGTACCGAGTTCAAGTCCTGCTCTGACTACTAGCTGGATTTGTTCACGGTACTCCTGAGTTGACATCCTCGGCCATGTTTGTAAATAGCCAACTGGAATTCTTAACCCTGTTAAGTTTGATTTGAATTAGTTGTTTAGCATTTGCTCGGCTCCACTAGCATCAGTGCTATAAACACTGCCTAGGGTAAATAACAAATTTTGTGGGCTTCTTTGAAGGATCCGCCCCCCGCCCCTATTTGAAAGCCCGCTATCCTTGGGGGGGAGGGGGTCGTTGCTGAGGAGAAATAAATGGAATGTCCCATACAAGTAGTATGATTTTGCTGCATGCATTTGAGTGGGGCTGTGCAGAAATCTATCCTTAAATTGTCGTCCATGGCACTCTTTGCATCTTTACGTTATAAAGTGATCAGCACTACAAACAAAAACACCCTAATAATGTAAGAAGCACAATTTCCACGTGGATATAAGCTTACTTAACTTGAGTATGAAATTTAAGATGAAAGTAGGGAAACCTTTATATTGGGACCAAACACCCCAAAAAAACAATCGTAAAAGCTAGATCATGCCTTGAACTAAACATTTTTTGTGTGTTGTATCAAATAAACGCCTCTAGTGAACAAGATCGGGAGGAAGTTAACATCGGTTTATTTTTCCGCGCGCTTTTTCAGGCTCAGACACCGCCATTTTCCAAACTCACCGGGTAAAGATAATCCAGCTTATACTGAATCAATGTATGATCTAGATCAAACCCAATCCAGTCGTAGTCATTTAAACTTGTCATTTTAACCGTAGTCTTTCTTTCTGGCGTTTTGTGGAGACTTGTATAACGAGTGGAGATCGCACGAGAGATATCACGAGCCACGTTCCGTGAACGGAAATTAACAAAATCGAGGCGAGAGCCCTGGAAACAACAATTGCGAGATTGTTCCCAGGCTACCCAAGGTCCAGGCGTAGCTAACAATGGACGACGACATCCGATCATTTGAGCAAGTTGTATATAGTTTCGTCGCATAACAGCTTCGATTTGTTGTTTATTTAGCGTATTCTGGTCCTGATTCTGCTCTGCCCTGCAAATGCAAATGTGCCCTGGTGCAGTGGGTGTAGGAACGCTGCGATGTCAGGTTGCCAAGCAACAGACGCAGCGTTGCGTGACGGCCCTTGTAAGTTATCGCCGGGGCAAACAAATGCATTCTGATACGTCTACGATACTCTTTTTCTACGCAGGCTGGGTGAAATAGTTTAAGAAATACCTTTCCCTAAGTTTATGGATCTACCTTAACTCGATACAAGTTTTTTTCTTTCCCTTTTCTTTCTTTTCATTCCAGGTATGTTTGCAGGATAGTTTCACTACTACACCCCACCCACAGAAAATTTAAGTGTACATTGTTCGGAAGAACACAATATTTAGAAAATATCTTTGTAAATAGTAAAAAAAAAACATTTATTTTATTACCTATGTACAGTTGTCCACAATTATATTATTGATTTCCATTCAATTACTATTAACAAGCTAATAAACACGTATAAGATTTTCTTCAATACTACCAAGTAAACAAACTAGCCTCCTTCGCAGCCACTTGGGCTGGAGTCACACAAGCTCCCTGCGGCAGGAAGCTTACGTGACTCCAGCCCGAGCGGCCGCAAAAAAGACTAACAAGAAACACGACATGGGAAAAGATTAAACCCTACTTTAATTCACAGTACTTGGGCATCTTAGTCATCTACACATCATTGAAAGTTAAGGAAATTAATATTGTCAGTAATATTATCATGGTACACTTTTCAATAAAACCATTTTCTGGCTAACCAGTTTTAAACCAGCCACAAAACACTTATTATCAATAACAATCATTTTAAAAAAGTACAAAAACTATTACACAGCTGTTATTTTATAACTTGTCTTTAGCTACAGTGAAAATAATATTATATTTTCATACAAATACTATGTACACCTTGTCTCCATTCATCAAATTTTTTTTTCTACTTCCAATATTCTGAGTTTCCTTGATATTTTGCTCATCATTGGAAGTCTGCAGGTAGATACTTTATTTTTTTGCCGATAACTAAGCCCGAAAAACAGCCAACAATTAACAAGGCTACTGCTGGTTTCCCCACGAAATGGCTTCTGAGAAAAAAACAGAAATTTTATTCTTATGACACATCACAACTGAGATCTGGGTAGTGCTCTGATTGGATGAAGCAAATTTCCCTCGCAGCATGACCAATAAGAAGCACTACCCAGATCTGGGTAAGTGACACATCATCAGTATGGAATTTCTGCACTCATTTCTCAGTAGCCTGTTCCAGGTGTTCAGATAGTGGGGAGTGGTGCAAAGTAAAAAGGAGTCACCCCTCTACTTTTCATCACTTTCCCTACTTTGCACCGCTCCGCACTATCTGAACGCCTGGAACAGGCTAATTTCTCAGACATTTCAGGAAGAAACCAGTGGTGGAGTCGCGAAATGTCGTTTGTTTTCTCAGGGTATCATGACTGGTGGCTAACTGATCTTTTCCTCAAAAGATCTGAGAATTTAGCTCTGTATTGCTCAGAAACATATCTACAACTCAGTTCACAGTTCATGGCATGCGACATTCGCTAGTGGTTGACCTAACAGTCAAAACAATTTCAATGGCGTTCCATCATATAAAACTCTCATTACCAATGAGTTCATTTTCCTTGAAATTTTCATTACCTTTAATAAAAATTATTTTAACAACTTCATTGGAAAAAAGTCTATAGCCGTGCAATAATCCTCTTACTGTGGACAACTCTTTACTTGGAACAGTTTTGTTGGTTCTGTGGAGACCAAAATGACAGAATGCAAACTCCATAAAAAGGAAAAAAAGATTTTTTTTCAAAAAAACAGACAAAATTAATGCTCAAGCCCTCTACTGCATTACAGGTTTTCTGTATTTCACTTACTGTTGCATCTAAAGAAGCATTCTTTGAAGTGCTGTGAACATAAAAGGACTCGCACAATGATACTTCATGAATTTTACGGTGATATGAGACTTCATATGTTGACTATCTGCTGGATTTGCAGTTTGGAAAATATGAAATTTGCATGAAGGAAAAAGAAGTGGAAGGTGTTTGTTGAAGGCCAATTGAGATCGATACAGGGATCATGATCAGAATCAAAGTCCTTCTTAAACATGAATTACTAAGGATTTGGAAATGATAATTGTGTATAGACGTATTTTTAGTGTTTGGATGTTTGTTTTAGTGTATAAAGTGATGGATGTTTGTGACTGCCTCAATATGTAAAGCTTTTTTTCATAAAATCATTGTCTACCTACAAGCCTAATTTATTTGAAAATTATTATTGATAACTTTGGGTGGGGCTAAGGGGTGGGGGTTTTCTCTACATTAGGGAGCTTTAACAAAGGCACTTTTGATCAACACAGGTCAACTGGAACTGTGGCTTTTTCCCTTCTCATATGCCTTGGCATTACCAAATTTGTATTGCTGGGCATCTTTACTCTAACTTATAGACACAAATTGCCTGATTATGTTTGCAAAAAGTCCCCTTGCAGTTGACAAGCATCGCTTAAAATGCCTTTGGTTAAGCTCTCTATTGTTGGGGGAGGGGGTTAGTGCTTGATGATTTCTGAGTCTCCAAAACCTTCAGTCTCTACAAGACTACATTAACTGTGCATGCTCAAGGTTACAAAAAAAATCTTATACTAGACAAAATCTAAATCTGCAGCTTTTTCAATGCACCCCAAGGCTGTACTCTAAGGAACTGTCTGCACTATACCAGAATAGCTCTTGTATCTGCAATGTTCAATCTAGAAATTAGTCAAAGTGGGTCATATGTCCCTGCACATGGCATTTTAAATTGGGCCACTTCCAAAATGGTCTGGGTCAAACTATGATATTGAAACTTTGAACAACTGACATTTGAACAACTTCTCCAGCTCCACCACCATCCCTATTCAGCTGATCTTCATGCTTTTGATGTTGAAGTCCCATTCTCTTTTGTGTAAAAATTGAACTTAGCTTTTGTTGTTGTTTCATGAAATGAAAACAAAAGAATGCCAATAAATAAAGCGTAAATCGGTCGGCAAAGCAACGTATGTGGAAAGTTCAAATGTACCCTCCAGTCTCTCCTGGAATTGTGTGGAATGACACCTGACATAAAACTAATCGTAAGCATATGATAGTGATTTTGCATGCTCATTTCAGGCTAGTAAGCACCCTTATGTTTTACCTAAATACTTTTAATAATAATTTTAATCATAACTATAACAAAATTGTCAAATCTGATTGGCTATCAACTGCCCTGATTTCAGCCTTAATAGGACAGTTTAATAGGACAGTACACGTCATGCCTAAGTAATTGGACAGTACGCGCCATCACGCGCGCGCTTAAATGGCTTTTTTTCCCACTCCTAGCAAAACAAAATTTCAAATTTCTTGTGTTTGATTTAAAAAATAGCCTATTGTATCACAAATTTTGTTAAAGTTATGATTAATTGGTAACAGAACTTCGTGTCGTCCAATTCGGTCTGTAATCATACTCGTGATTAAACAAATCGGACTCCCGCTACGCGGTCGTCCAATTTTGTTAATCACTCGTATGATTACAGACCGAATTGGACTCCACTCACTCCTGTTACCATTACTTATTGCCTACTGTTTTGGAAGAACTTACATATGAGTCAACTTTTTTTTGCATCAGTATGACTCCACAATAATTCTTTTTGCATCAGAATAGAATTTTTAAAAAAAATGTGGCCTAGATTGAACACTGTATCTGGCAGCTTCTGTTCACACTTGAGAACAGTGATTTCTGTCTGATTTCTGTAACAGTATGAAGCTGCACTAAGCTGATCTTGAAACTGAATAGTCACCTATCAGTCAGATTTCTGTGCCACCCTTTGGTGCCACGTGAAAAGATCAGTAAGCTATTTAGTATAGTGTAGACACAGGCTAGGGAGTGCAAGAAGTCTGGACCTAGAGACCCAGCATAAAAAATATGCAGTTCAAAACTAAGATCTCTTTTTTGCTAATGCATAAATTATAATTAAACTATCATATTAGGTAATTACATGATTTGTTCCCCTCATATTGGTTTTCAGGTTGGGCTGTTATGTCCTAGTAAAGTTTATTGAATGAAGTACCCTACCCCCACCTGCTCATTTAAGAATATTTTGCGTAAAAGGGCCCCACACTTTGATGGATTGATTGATGAAGTGCTTTTCCTCTTTCAAGGTGAGTAGGCAGGAGGAGGAATGTCAGAAAAGCTGTCTGCAGGTAACATGGAATACATAAGTTCTAGTGAGAGCTCATCGTCAGAACGAGTTCTTTCCCTGCTTGCACGATGTAAGAAACAGTGCATGAGTAAGCTAAACCCAGTAGCCATTACAGATGATGCTCCAGCTGCCACCACAAGAAAAAAGCTGATATCAAATTTAATCTTGGATTTAATTCCAGTCTCTTTCTCTGATACTTCTTCCAGAATTCTTGTTACCCAATAAACAAGAAGAGTAGCGCCAACACACATGACAACTGCAGCAAAAAAAAGGAGTGTAGGAACTTTAACAAGATGTATTACTAATAAAGCCATGTAATTCTTCACTCTTTACACACTAATCATTAGGGAGCTTAAGCACAGACATTGTTGAGTGAGGCAAGTCAACAGGAAGTGGATTTTTTGTATTCTTAGGCCGTGGTTTTTCCCTAATTTGGGGGCAAATCGTCTATATAATTAGAGTGGATGACTCCAACCACTAAAAATTCAGTAGTGCCAAGGCATTTTAAAAGGGAAAAGGCTTCAGTACGGGCTGACATGCGCTGCTCAAAAACATCTCTGCTTAAGACGCTTATTATCAAGCCTAAATAGAAAACCAGCCTCACAAAAACAGACACTCATGCAGGAAACCAAGTTACTTGCTGCAGCATCACAGCAAATTTTTGGGGAAATTTTTTTTCTGAGGAAATTTTTCTAACCCTAACCCAAACCCAGAGTATGCCCAACCCAAGCTATTCCCCAAAAGGGAGCCCTTGGGAAAAGATATAAAGAAACCACAATATTATTTGGTGTCTTGATAGTCAACGTGATGCAAAAGCTTGAAAAATCCTAAGACAGGAGAAATGGTACCATAACAGTGCAGATTTGTCTGAATCCTTTTTATGTGTTTGCGCATACTTGAATATGCAAAAATACAGACTGTTTTGCAGTCTAAAGCAGCATAAGACTTAAGTCCAAGTTTTTGTCAAAACTTAACCGCAGAGTAATGAAATAATAAATTGGTAAATGTAATAAAGAACATCTCCCTCCCAAAACTGTCAGCCATCTGTCAGCTTACCATTGGCTGAGTGCAGACTATAATTTTAGTCAACTGTTGCTCACAAGTCAGCTAACAGTCAGAGAAAAGGTAATACCACTCATGTGTCAATGTATACAGCATTTTTAAAGGAAATGTTCACAAAAACAAGCTTACCAGTGATGACATTTCCAAAGGAATAATCCTTGACAACTTTGAGACATCTGTTAAGTGTACCACACAAATCCAGTAAACAAGCAAACATGCTAGCAACAATCCCTATACAACACACTGCCACAACCACACGCAAAAGAAGAACAATGTCTGTTGTGAAGCAATACAGTTCTGCCAGAAAACAAAGTACATTTCACATTACAAGAAACTCTTTGAATATACATGTAATATAAACATGTCATGTCATAAGATTGACTACTTAGTGTTAACATGTAAATACTGCACTTAACTCTCTGTGAGCTGGATTATGATACAGCTGATCTCTATCATGCCGAGCAGCAAAATAAGCCCAGAATCATTTGACGTTACAAAAAAAACATGCTGTTATTTCTCTTCTTGCTCGTACACGAGTATACATGCATGCATGGAGTTCAAATATTTAGATAATCTTTATCATACACAGCAAAACTGCCCTTGTCTTTGAAATTGAACTGCTAAATTAAACTGTGAATGAAGAATCGTTGCGAAGAGTCGGTCAGTTTTTCATTTAGAGCCGCTTTGTGGTTTCCACCGCGATTTTGTTTATGTGAGTTTCTGAGACCAATGTCATGTTGTCATTTGACCTTCTTGCTATTTTCACTGTCAAGTGTAATGATTATATTCTGTTAGGTTTTCTTTCTTGTTTCCTTGGTTTTTTTTATTTGTTAAGGACTAAACAGCTCCTTTTAAATTAAAGGAAATTATTGTGTTTTTGAACTAAGTGTTTCATGTGTGTATTTATTTTATTGCGTGATTGCGACCGAGTTTGAACTACAACTGGTTCAGAGTACTCCGTGCTTGATAGTTTGAATGTTAAACATGAATTATGATCGAAAAGAGTAAAGCAATTCTGTCAGCTGTTCAGTATCATGTAGACATTTCCAAAAGATATTTCTTGGTTTGCCACTTGAAAATTGTGTTTTACTTTTTGCATGAATTAAAGTAAAGGAGTAGTGACGTCACTGGATGGCATTAACGGCCGGTCGATTCAGATGTTACTTAGGGAGTAATAACGACTTGAAGTAATCGGATGAAATTCAGGCTAATTTCTTCATCTAGTCACCTAAGATGCTCATGATCATGACATAGTGGAGAGCTTGTTTTGCAAGCCAATGTTTCAAGACCAAAGACCAGGTCATTCCTGACATTCTTCTACAGAGACTACCATGCCTAAACAGCTCTTTAGCTATCTCAACACAATTTCAAAACATACCAGGCCCACCTTTGGTAAGTTTGAAGAGGTGTCAATTAAATTCAAAGAACAAGAGAACGACTGGAGAACTGACAATTTGACTATCAATAGACGACTGTTTAACTGTGACAATAGACGGATCGAAACGCACCAATTACTGATTACGAGTCTTCATAGCCAATAACATCACGGCTTAACTGACAGACGACCAATAACATCGCGACATAATTGACCAATCAGATCAAGAACCAGAGTATATTACCATCAACTGACGTGATACAACTCAATTTGACTCTGAAGATGACTACTGCATAGGTTATCAAAACGTCAGTCACTGTCAACAATAACAGTCCTATTCAGGACTACCTTCACCCGGACGATCAAACTCAAACTTTTGAAATGTTTCTTTCATTACTGCAATAGTTACATGTATATTATTTGGGGAAAAATTAGATGACCTCTCTGAGTGAAGTAGACAATGCTTTTCATTGGCAATTGGTGCTTATTGAAAGAACCCAACTTGAGAGAGTAATGTCACATAAGACTCAGTGGTCAGGCAAAGTGCTGTTGACATGGCAATAAAAAAGTATGATGATTCTGAAGATGGTGATGATTTAGACAGATGTAACAGATTAGATGTGACTAAATGCAATTTAGGCAAAGTTAACCTCAAAGCAATGCTGGTAAGCAGTTTTCCCAGCTATACTGGGGGTGGTCTAATGCTTCTAGTAGGGGCACCTCGTGACTTGTATACGCAGTTGCTTGCTTGCAGTTCTTCGCAAAGTGTTTTTGCAATAGCTTGCTGTTTAGGTGCCATTTTGTTCTTTGGTTTTTCCCATCCCTCCCTCCCTAGGCCTGTTAATATGAGGTGAGCCAACCTGCTTTATATTAGCTAGGCTAGCTCACTTTACCAGGCTGGATCGGATCATGCCTTCTCTCCTAATGAGCAGGCTCGGCTTAGCAGGCTGGCTCATCTCATACAAACAGGCCCTTAAAGAAATGATCACTGAAAATACACTTTCTTGCAACAATGAGACTTGATGCAACATAAGAGTGACTTTAACTACATGCAGGGAATCCTGGGCTAAATTCTTAGCTTTTGGCCTCTTGGCAAAAAGCCTTCAGTAGCAACAATTTTGTGGGCAGCTATTTCACTCGCTTACACTCACGTGTATTAAAACAATATCAGCAGCTCAAAGTAGAGCTTCCTCACTTGATATCGATCAATCTGATATTGACCACAGTTTTGCTGAAGAAAATTATTGTTAACTACCGCATCACATTGTTGCCAAGTGACCCCTAGGATAAAGACCTTACTGATCAGGCATGAAGGTACATGTACTACGTACCTATATTGATAAATTATCAAGATATTTGCATGTACCGCAGTTATGAAGAAATTAGCTTTACTCATGGAAACGGAAATCGTCCATGTACGTGATTACTGAACATGAGGCAAAAACAAAAAATCAGGGCAACAAACAAATTGAAACTAGTCTCAAATTACATCATAGTGCAATTTATATACTTAAAAACAGCATAGGATTTCCGGGAACACTAAATTTACGTTCTTAATCCTGTTTGCTGTACTTTAGTGCTGTTAGAATATATGTAAAAAATAAACAGAAAAAGTCTAAAAACTGTAGTTTATAGAGAAATGAGGGTTGCAAGCTTTTGGAATGAGTTAAAGCAAATTAATAACTCCCGTAATGATCTGCTGTCAGAAGTGATGCTGTTTTCTAAGACGTCACGTCTCGGTCAACTTATCTTATCCCTAATTAACAAGAAAAAACAAAACTTACTTAGGTCTTCAGGATGTTTATAAGCGATGACTTTGTACAATCCCATGTATTTTCCTTGGCATTTCCCCGAGACAATATGAAGCCATTTCGGTTCAGCCTCTGCAATCGCAAGAAGCACTGCAGATGCGAGAGCGAAAAACGCGGAAACGATGTTTCGCTCATACTCGGGCTTCGGGCGACGCGAGCTTCTGCGATTTCTTGATCGTCGCCTTGAATAGCTGCTCGGGTGAGAGAAATACAAAGGTCTTGGTAGCATTCCAAGTGAGTCTCAATCTCTTCTAGTTTTACCGTACTTTGACTACCACTAAAAACAATATGGCAGCTCACCGTGGAATGTTATGACCGCACCACTGGGGGCACTGGGGTCGGGAGGGAAATTTCTATCACGTGACCCACCACTCTCCGGATCAAGGAGTTCATATCTGATCAGGTGTTCCTTTTTATCTTTTTTCCTGGAGGAAATACTTCAAGTAAAAGAAAGGTTCACACACAACCTATCTTTTTTACTTAAGGTTTACTTAAGCCTATTTTCCCACGCATGATTGACAAGCTTCGCCTTTCTTAAAGCTCGGAAACCGCAAGTTCACTAAGTCGGTTTTAAGGATGGTTTTCAAGTCAGTTGAAACTTTCTTGAATCGTTTCAACTTTCGGACTTTAATGAGATGCAAAGTAAAGTTACTTTAGATTTTACTTAGGCCTTCACACACGTATTTTTGGTTAAGTAAAACTAAGCAGCCCTTAAGTCTAACTAAGCAGCTCTTAAGTCTTACTTAAGAGCTCAGTGTAAAGACAGCCAGTAGCGTCTTGCAACGCTAGCAGACCTGAACTGGCACGCCCGCCTTTATTCATTGCGTGCCCAACCAAAACCGCCATGCTACGCAGGCTGTTTGACGATGTTCTATAAGATCAATTCCAATCTTGTGAATATCTCTTTCCCAACCGAAATTAGCCTAGGTTTTCAGGGGACTAGGAGGTCACACGATTGTAAATTTATACCCCGATCAGCTTCTACCGTCCTGACTTTTTTCTCCTTAATATATATTTTTCGTGTAGCCATAACGAGTACAAAACACAAATAAAAAAAGGGGATCACGGTTCTCGTTTCATCCCAAAACGACAACAAAGGGGCAATTTTGGTTTGAAAGGATCGTTTTGTGCTTTTTAGCCGGGTAGAATTATCGAAATTGCTATTTAGGAGCATTTGGACTTTAAAAGAGGCCTTAATTACCCCTTTTCAGGCGACCGGTGAAAATTGCCGCCATTTTATAAGTCGCAATGTTATGCGCACTAGATGATGCGCAGTGCAAAACATGGGAATTACCTTGAGTAGCGCAGTCAAGTCAGGACAAGTAGGCTTCTTTAAAAGTAGGCTTCCCAAGCATTCGCAATGCGCATGCACAAAAAAAACTGAGGAACCGTGAAACGAATCCTTATCGAGTCCTTATTCGTCAGATTGTCGCGCGTGCATTTCTCTTCCTTTGTTTTACCATAAGTAGAACCCTTTAGTTGCAAAAAACGTGTGTTAGTGGTGAAGAGTAAAGTCATAACAAATAATTCGAGTTTGGAAGGGCTTACAGTTCTTAAAACGGAAATTCCAAAGAAGAAAGAGAAGGCATGTTGCATTTTCGCCCTTTTTAATGTATAATCTTGTCTGTGTTATAGCACATTTTCTTTTCTCTCCTCATTATTATCATTTTTGCGGTGCTACCCGCCTATAGCTATAATTTCATTCGGAGTAAGCTCCGCCCTAAGAGTTCAACCATGTCCACACTATTAATGATGCAAAATAACACCTTCCGGCAAGCTTCCTTTTAAAAATTGTACTAAGATTATGTACTCGCTTTTCTAAATCCATATGGTGATGTTAACGCGAACGATTTTGCGAGGGAACAGCCAACAGTCATGTCTTGCTTGATGGCACCCCTATTGCAAGACTAGAAATTTTATGAAAAAAGGTTGAATAAGCATCTTCTTGAAATACAGTCGAACCTCTCGTAATAGACCACCCCAAATCAAAAAAGTTTATTAGCCATCACTCGTTACGTAAATGGGGTGCAATTGCAGGTGGTTAACATGGCGATATCTCAACGCATTGAATGAATCAGCTCTAATAAATTGTTTTCAGCGTCCTTTTTGGGTGGGATCGCGCATTAGCTATTGATTGAATGGCCTTAATTGTATTGAAGTGTTCTTTGAAAACCAGAGTTGTTCAAATATTCACTGATTTGAGATAGAGGTCGTTAATCGATTTTGACAGGAGTCGAGATCCATGATTGTCTGTTTTTAATGTCTGTGCTTCTAGTTTCAAATGATATTCACCAATCATGGAAATCTCTTGTGGAAATCCTAAAGGAAAACACGCGTCGTGCGTTATGAAAATGGTAAATCAAGAACCCGCGCCCTACCATGCCCAATCCGCCTCACGCAGCTATGATCAAGCATCACGCTGATAATTTGCGACCCTTCGCGCGTCACGGAAAACCTTTCTGATCAGTGACATTAGTGAGGTACTGGTCTCAGGGTTGTGCCAGGCTCTTGGTCGGTGTAGACAAGCGAAAAAAGCGCGCAAGCTCTTGGAGCCTGGAAGAAGCTAGGTTTGTACAAAGTGACCGTTGCAGTCAGATAATGGTTTCTTACCTTCGGTACCATGCCTCAGACTTGGTGTGGTGGTCTTCTATAAATCGGGTGGGCGTAATGACCCGGGAAATCACCGAGGTATCTGTGTCTCCAGCTGCCTGGGAAAATTGTTTTGTTCTATCTTAAACCAACGACTCCTCGAACATGTCATGTCTTTAAATACACTTCATAAATCTCAAATTGGCTTTTTACCAAATAACCGCACCCGCACAGCAGACCACGTCTTTACACTCCGAGCCTTGATAGATAAGTACGTTCATAATCAAAAGCAAAAGATTTATGCTTGCTTTGTGGATTTAAAAAAAAGCTTTTGACTCGGTCTGGCGTGTTAGGCTCCTGCATAAGTTACTGCAAATTAACGTATCTGGCTGTTTTTACAACCTTGATTAAAAGCTTTTATTTCAACGCTACATGCGCAATCAAATTGCCCAAAAGCAAACACGACCCTTCCATTATGCGAGAGGTGTGAGGCAAGGTTGTATCTTAAGTCCAGTGCTTTTTAATCTTTATATAATGACCTACCTTCCGCATGTGAAAATACGTTATCTGGTCCTTTTGTTTTACTAAACGGTACAAAATTAAATTCTCTTGTTTATGCAGATGATTTAATCATATTATCACGATTCAAAACAGGATTACAAAATTGCCTTGATAAGTTGTCTTCCTACTGTGCTTCGTGGATGATGAAAATCAATCTCATGCAAGAAAACTAAGATTATGGTCTTTCAGAAACGTGCCAGGAAAAACTGCTGAACTTAAATTCGCTTTCTCATAGATGGTCAAATTATTGATGTTGTACAAGAATACAGTTCTCAGTGTAACGTGACATCTCGAGAAAAACCTCTTCATACCCTATTTAAATAGAATGAGACGACATAAGAATCTCGGCAAACTAGAAACATCTCTTGCTTGTAAATTATTTGACACGGTGCTATTCCCTATTCTGATGTATAATAATGAAATTTGGCGTGTGTATGCCAAACCAGATTTTAAGACCCGGGACATCTCACTGATCGAAAAGACACACCTCCAGTTTTGCAAACGGTAAGCAACCAGGCGTCTGATGTTGCTTGTAGAGCTGAACTTGGTCGCTTACCTTTAAATATAACTATCAGTAAAAAAATCCTTAATTAAATTTTATAGATTAAATTTGATTTAAACTGCAATGGTAAGAGTAGCTTGCAATCTCACTTGATGGAGATGTCAGAATATTTTAACCTACCTGACTTCATCACTGATTTGTTAGATACCGCTATAGTAAAAAACATCGTAGGTTGAATGAAACAAGAATACACGATCGGATCTAGGAATGGATAAATACTGACCATTTTCCTAAACGAGCGACGAAATGATAAGCTTTTAGGGGGATCCGGGGGCATGCACCCCCGTGAATTTTTTGGATTTTTACTCCCTAAAGTCACCTTTCCTGGGTTTCTGAGTCATTCAGTCGGGATTTTGGCCAGATTTTAACTTGGAAAGTTGTTTTTTCATGAAAAATTTATTTATTTATGAAAACTCTGACCGATTTTCATAAAACGGTGGAAACCAGTGTGGATCCGCGCCTGGAATATACATCATACTGGCAAAACACCCTTCACCACTCTCAAAAACTAGAGTTTTTTTAGATCTTTTAAAAGCGATCATACCACTTCTTATTACCGAGACTTAACGAGAGGGACAGCTGGGAGAAATAAATTAGTAAAAGTACGAATAAGTACCCACAAACTTATGATAGAACTTGGTATGCAATCAAACTACCAGGCCTTTTGTGTAATTGCCCTTTTTGAAAAGGAAAAACTTGTGAAGTCAAAACCACAACGACAAACCATTGAGGGTCCGCCCGATCTTTAGTAGACCTGGGATCAGTAAAATCTTGAGTACCAAATTTTAAATTTAAAACAGTAAACTGATCCTTACGGTAGGAAGAGTGATAGAAAAAATAAAGAAAGAAAACAAAAATAAAGTGGTGAATTAAATAATTCACAACTTTCTTTTGTTTTCTTTCTTTATTTTTTTATCACTCTTCTTAGTGCCGTAAGGATCAGTTTACTGTTTTAAATTTAATAATTATGATGTACCTTTTTGTAAATCCCATCAAACTAGACGAAATTTGCTTACTCTTTGATTTGGAATAATTTTTACAATAAAATTAAGATTCTGATTCCAAATTTTATCCAGTTACCTGTGAACGTTTTGATCAATGAATTGAGGAACACATCTAATTACTATATTAATTTACAATTCATGTAATCGGTTCTTCAGCTTGCTTGGACTCTCGCGACGAATTATTAACAAAGTACTTTAACTGGCCAGTGATTAAATATTAGTTCTAAATTAATTGTTCTAAATAGCTTTTGCAATTCTATACTTTACTTGTATGGTCATTCAAATAAAACCTGGTTGTTGCTGTTTTTGTTTTTTTTTTATTGTCCATTATGTACCTCATCTTAGCCTGCGTCACAGATACTGAAAACCTTTTGTACACACTTATTCGAATAAGCGCCCAACCTCGAATTAGCGCCCACCTCGAATAAGGGCCCATCCTAAAGGCAGAAAAAGTTAATAAGCGCCCAGCCTCGAATAAGCGCCCACCCCCTTCTCCTCCCAATCAAACTCAAATAAGCGCTCACCCCCACCCCACCCACTTGAGTGAATAAATTCTAATAAGAGACTTCCCCGAGGACGGAGTTTTCTTCAGAGTATTTTACAGAAACCTTGCTTTGTTACTTCTTCGCGTTTTGTTATTAGCATTTATTGTTTTGTTGCAAAATAAACATACTTCACTTGCTGAAAAGTGGTGAAAATTTAATAAGCGCCCAGCCTCGAATAAGCGCCCACTCTCAAGGTCCAACAATTTAATGAGCGCCCAGGGCGGTAAATCGAATAAATATAGACAATGCGTGGGCCGGCTGCAACGCAGGCTTGTTTTTATATCTCTTAAAATACCTGGAATTTTTTAGCTGTAAAATAAAGCGCGAAATATCGCTTCAGTATTTGGGGGCGGGGAGCGGGCTGGGAAATGTCACTCAAGTTCAGCCACTGCTGTGTTTATGTTTACCGCGGGCTCACATCCTATGAAACGATTGAGAACTCGTGACAGCTCATTCACGAAGAAAGACAAGGTTCTCATCCACCCAGGCGGTGGTAAAATTTAGAGCAATTTTCTTTCCATTTCGTCATTAGATTAACAAACAGAACCGTCCTACTACGCTAATCTATTTGCCTTTGTACGATTCTCACAGGAATTGGTCCGTTCAGTCCTCGAAAATGTACGTTTGTTTATCATGTTCATTTCTTTCGATTTGTGTTTGTTTCATCTAGTAAACCGATAAAAGCTTTACATGGATATTCAAATCGATTTGGCCATTGTAAACGTACTATGTGCCCTGTAATTAAGCTTTCATACATTTTTGTTCGTTAAATCTTGGACGAAATTTAATAGCTGAGAAACGAAACGACCCAATGCTACATTTACGAACCGCGTTTTGAGAAAGGTTGTCGTGTGGTAATATAAATTTCTTCCTTTCTTTAACTTTGTTTTGTAGAGAAATACAAGCTTACATAACTTGAAAAAGATGCGGAAGTGTTTGTTGGAGACCAAGGGATCGATTGTTGTTGTCATTCCATGTTGTATTTGTTCTCCGCGAGTCGTAGACGGTAAGCAATTGATGATGTAAACTTCAATACTTCGAGCTAAAATATAACTTAAACTAAGCTTATTTAGGTAGTTTCTCGGTCATTTATCCATACTTTCGTAGCTCAGGTTTTATACCTTTATTTAGGGAAAATTGATTGATTGATAGAAGTAAGAAATATTTCCTTTTTTGAACGAATATTACGGGGATTTCTTTACTCTAGCTTCCTTTTCTGTGTCACGAGTTTCCTGTTAAAAAGTTGATCTTTGAGAATCGAAACCGGTTGTTATCAAGGTAAGAACAGGCAACGTGGGTGTCCCAGGGGGTATATCTCACATACATAAGTGATTGCCTTTATCAATGCACTGGTTCGCGTCTTTTTTACTTCATCATTTAGTGGTACTATTTATCAAATAAGCGTCTCGGACAATCGAGAAGATGATATTGTTACTATATCAAGGTAAACACATTGGCTCGGCTCATAAATTCTCTTACCTAAGAGCAAATCCATTGATCTGCCACCCTGAAATTATCATATTATTATTTCCCCAACTACGTTAATTACTTGTTTTAAGATATCAAGTTAATTTGAGAAACCTTAAGTTTTTAAGGCTGGTTTTAACACGCTTCATAATTGCATGTTTTGTAGCAAAAAATAAACCCTTTCAATGTAAGGAAGTGCAAACGCTATTATTATTTAATTATTAATTATTCCAGTAGCTTTACATTTGTAATATTGTCCATCTCTTGATCTCTACCAGTAGTGAATTTGTTGTGAGTTTTCCTTACCATAAGTAAGCCCCTTTGAAAGAAAAGAAGGGTTAAATACCAATGATATACAGTATAAAAATTAATATTACTTTCAGAAGCTTTCTCTGTTGCTTGTTCAGCTAACTTCCTGTTAAAAAGGGATGGATCGATAAATTTTATGTGAATTTGTCTTTTTTGAATTGTAATGAGTCTGTTATATTATTTTATTTTTTAAAAGATAATATATATTCGAAATAATCTAGTGTCTGCACTTGGCCGTTTATTATATTGTTGAATCAAGTACAAAAATGTAGTGCAATTCAATACAAATTTAGCCCCTAAATATCTAAAGGATTAAGAACAAAGGCTTCAATTCCCCTTTGTATTTAACCAACACCAATATTCTAACATATTTTTTTTATTACAGATAGTAAACCTTATAAACATGTGAACTGGTAACGCCACTGTAAATATTTGTTGTGTGAAAATCAACAACTTTAAAACTAATAACCAATTATGACTACTACACATATATTATATGATAAATGATACTTAAATCAGTGTTTCATGAGAGATCAACCATTTTTTGTCTTCTGTAAGATCTCAGTTGTTAATTAAAAACAAAAACTGGATGAAGTGTTCTCATTTGACTCATTGATCAATATTAAAGTAAAAATTAAAGTGAATAATGAGATGGTTGTCATAGTTACCAGGATAAAAATTAAAGCAACCAGCCTTCTAATGATGGGCACAATTTTGTGCAGCGCAGATATAAATACCAGTAACAAAATTATAAAAGAGTGGAAATCCACAAGTTATTGGGAAGTATGTTTAGGAAGTCTATTTATGCAGCTTTGGTAATATGTAAATCTACCTGATATTTTACCATCATTACTGATTGAAGGTTTACAAAGAGTTTAGATTTGTATAGGTAATAGCAGGATTTGTAGTGATATTTGGCATAAATACCACGAATGATATTTCGAAATTGTTATACGTAATTTCACGAGTCGTTAGGCGAGTGAAATTTGAGACAATTTTGAAATATCACGAGTGGTATTTATGCCAAATATCACGTACAAATCATGCTATTATTTGTTTATACTACTACCCACAAAGGTTTTGTAATTTTCACATGTAGGTATTTCAAATTAAGCTGAAATACCACTGCTCTAAGCCAATCAAATTGCAGAAATTTCTCATGTAGTAGTATAATGTTAGGAACACCATTGCCTTCTCAAAATCAACAGATTGCTGGTTCTACCAGCCAATCCCTTCAGGCTATGAATTCCTCTATCCAGCTTGTGTACTATTTTCCACAGTCTAGCAATCCTCTGAGTACTGTACTTTTAGAATATTTTGAGAAGCCTTTTGTTTTATATAAGGCCAGTTTCAGTTTAAAAATGCAATCTTGTTAAGGACATTTAGTTGTCTGGGTGCTGTCGCCTCAGGGATGGGTGCTAACCAGACTGGAACTCAAATAAAATATTGGCATAATTTAGCTGCTGTGGCATCAAATGAAATGATTAACAAGTCTTTTACAATATTAGTACCTAAAGTTTCATTCTTTTTGTCTGTTTTAACGTTGTACTGTGGCTTTATGATGACACTGAATATCATTTTTATTTTTCTTGATATACTTTTTTACTTGTTTAATCTATACAGAAATTAAACAACTTAATTCTAATTCTAATTGTGTAATCTGCAGACGTGCAGCAGACGTGCAGATGTGCATGTACTAATGTTAAAAATAGTTATAGTGCCAGTATTAAGTTAAAAAAAAAAAAAAAAAGCGTCACCATTTTTCAAGATGGCATCTGACGGCCTTTTTGAAAACCTCCACTGACTGCATTATTTGGTGAGGAGTTCCAGTCTCTGATTGTAGGAGTGTCTGTGATGAATCAGTTTGAAGCTCAAATAAATGAAAAATCTTTGACTTAGAGACCATGTTAGACTGAGAGCACTACAGAACAGTCTCTCTTTTTCTTCAGATTTAATGAGGGGAAAGCACAAGCACACAACAAAATAGTCTTAGACAACATAGTCTAAGACCATATGCCAAGAGGGAACAATCCCCTTGTACCTCTTTTTTTTAAATACACGTAGAGAAAGGAACTTGCTGATCTGATTTCTGGTCTACATGTATGTGTAGGAAGCAAATAAATTTCTTGTTCTCGCTTGTTTTGTTTTCTGCCCCCCCCCCTCCCCCCAATTTTTTTTTGTTGGGCGTTTAGTAGGCCTCATTCGGTGGGAAAAACGTCCGCGAACTAACCGAGGGTCGTGATCGAAATTATTGGAAAGGAATTTAGCCCAGGCGGGTAGTGGAACAAGATTTTTAGAGGAATGTTTTGGTCAATTTTAGATGGCTTATAGCGTTTTTCTCTGACCGTTTTGGCTGAATCATGCTCGTTTTGGGTATGGTTGGAAAAAAATGAGATCTCTTCTCTCCTGCACAAGTTGGTGTCAAAGTTGTCCAAGACCATTAGAACTGATGACATCAGAAGTGATGCATGCAAGGCTGTGCTCTAAGGAAAATTGAAGGGAGTCCAGTGCTCTGAAACTGTAAATATGATTTGTATGAAAATAGTAAGATTTTCTTTTCGCGCAAGAGGAAAAGTTGGGCGCCAGGGGCCAGTTGGCTCTGCTAGAGTACACCCTTGGGTGCAAATTATCCGCCCTGGGTGCAAAGGAAAAGGATCCACTCGGCAGTTACAAATTATACGTCATTTTTGAATACGTCGCTTTCCAGTCCGATCCAGGGGCCCGAACCTCCAAATTCCTTGTTACTTTTCGGTCTCGGAGACGGACGTTTGTGAGTTTCAATCTCTGTCCATTCTTGTCATCTGTAGCAACGGACAATATCAAACAGTTTCAATGCCTAATTATAGTCTTCAATAACAAAACTGGACCATTATTTTTAGAATTCAACTGATTCGAAGACACATGTTAGCTTTTCAAAAAAGATTTAAAATAGCGTGACATCAGACCCAAATCGTAGACATGTTTGGATTCACAAGCTGTGGGAACAGAAAGGTATTATGATACTCAACTCATGGGACCAAAACACACCTACGCACTTACATAAACAAGCAACAAATGCTCAAGGCCAGGAAAGGCCCCAAGTATGTCTAAAAATAAATTACGATCAAGCTTATAAGACATCCGTTTGCAGATGCTGTTACTTTAGAACTTATAAAGTACATGTGTGGTCTTATCCAAACGTCAAAATGACTCTTGACTACAAGTTTAACAAGAGAGCTGTACAAGTACAAACTACAATACACCTAGATCAACAATTATTAAAAAAAGGTTTTCAGGTACATGGCATATTGAATAGTGAATACGAAGGCGTTGTAACAGCAAACAAAATAAAAAAATGGTGCTAAAGTTGGGGACATGATGGCACCTCTGTAAGAAACCGGCTTATAGAATAGGCCACCCCTCCCCTACGAATACGTTTTTTCTATTGAGGGGTTGAGATAATATCACGAGTGATATATACAGACAGTGTTTTTTAAAGTGTGTAGAGCAAGAAAGTGCTGGCCAAGAAAGAAAAAAGAATAAGTCGCAAGTTATCGCACACAGCGAAAACCACAGCAGTTACTTGCGGACCCAACTTTATGTGGAATATGAGAAATATGACTTAAAATACGAGTTTTTGTTAATTTTTATACTGGATATTAGAGATTGTTTTGATAAAACTCGTTGTGGGCAGCTTGCCATTCGAACAGTCCTTCTTTTCTACGTTTTATGTCAGTTTAGCCACTGAATTATTTCATACTAAAGGGTAAGAAGAAATTTGGGAGAATTCTGCAACAGATTCTCCGGAAGTGATATTAAAGGATTGTGTCTTTTCTCGTTGAAGAAAAATAAGCCGTGGAATTTTTTGTTTTATTAAGGTAACCATTTGCGGGAGGAGAAAGTGAACAAAATGACCAATTGTTATGAAAAATAGTCTGGATGTTTGCAAAGATAATATAATTATGTCTATAAGCTTAGAAGACAAGTCTTGGACCTTCTGCATTCTGTCAAATACCTTGGTGTCTACCTATCTGACGACCTCCGCTGAAACGAACATATCTAAACCATTTCCAACAAGCTAACAAAACTCTTGGCTTTCCAAAGCGGAACTTAATACATTGCCCACCCAGGACTAAGGAAACAGCATACAAGGCCCTAGTACGCCCAACTCTGGAATACTGTTCATCTATGTGGGATCCACCTACAGCTAAAAACACAAACATGGTTGTGCACGCTGGGTTCTAAATCGCTTCGACCGCAAAGCTGGTGTAACTGAAATGCTTTCAACCCTGAAATGACAGACACTAGCAAGTAGGCGAACCATAGCACGCCTATCTATGCTGTATAAAATGCGTTACAGGCTAGTCTCTCACGAAGATGCCAAACTACAATCCGCAATCGTACTCAACTCGCTCCATAGAGTACTCTTACACACAGCCGACAGCCATTAGGGATTACTACAAGACAGTATTCCTTCTACCCAACGACCATTACTTAATGGAATAAACTCCCAAGGGATATAGCATTGTCCAATCCACTGGCTGCTTTTAAAAATGCAATTTCAAACATTAAGGCCCGGTTCAGACGCCGCTCCACTCATGTGCAGAACCTAACTGATGAATTAAGTACGGCAAAAGAGCGGCGTCTGAATCAATTTGGTACGACAGTTTTAGTTTGGTGCGGCAAAAGCGTTAAATTCGACAGAGTCTGTCGAACTTATTCAGTTAGGTTCGGCGCATGAAAAGTACGGCGTCTGAACCAGGCCTAATATTAACACTTTTATTACTCTGCGCTCACAAGCGCCATTTCAGTCACTTTTGTTGTCGTTTTTTTTTTTTTTTTTTTTTACAGCAGTCAAAAACGCTCAGAATTGAGTGACAGACCTTAATGGTAAATGTAAATGTAAATGTAATTGAGGTTTTTGCATTACAAAAATACATATGTAGGCGTCTTAAATAGGTCGAAACATTTTGGAAAGCTATTTTTATACTGATCCCTGAATCTGTTGTCGTAGAACTACACTGAGAAAAATGGAATTTAATTTGTCCGCCTTTGTGGTTTTATCGCGGCTTTGCCCTTTTTAGTGAAATGTCCGTGTTGAATAATTCATGTACCTGTTGAAAATGTGAAAGGAGACATGTTTTGAATTTGCTGTGTTAGAATGCGTATATTGTCGGCTGTCGAAGAATTAAACGAGAAGTGGTGTAGTAGGCGATCACCGTGTAAAAGCGTGGACTGTAGACAACTTTCCAGTCGGCCCACAAGCCAGAGCGACCAATAATTGAACCGAAAAATAATTCGAGTCGTGTTGCGAGGAAATTCACAGCAGTTAAATAGAGGGAAGAGCTAAATTGACAGGTAATCAACTGTGTTCGCTTCAATTCATTGAGGTTTATCGCAAGTGCAGTGCTCTTGATCATTTTTTTTCAGTCTTGAAATCGTATAGGGCATTAGCTCGTTGTCTAAGCTCGACGAAGAAAGACAGGATATAAATTAGAGTGTAGAATTTTTTGTACAAAAAATGGTGTCATTCATCTGCTAGTTCATGTTAAACGATATATTTGTTGAAATAATCAATTCCTCGTTTTTTCGTCTATTCAAGAGCACCAGATTTATAAAATAATCTTCTTCATGTAAAACTTGAACAGTTGTAGTAGTTTAGGGTTAGAATTTTTCTTTGCATCCTTCATGGGATATTTGCCGCACCTTTCGCGTTTGTTTCACTTGACGTCGTAATTGACGGATGGTTGCTATGGAAACTAATGACATCTGCCGATTCAGCGTTTATATTTGCGGCTTTATAAAATTCGCAGAGAGATAAATAGATAAATCGTTATTGAAAAGTACATTTCGCAGTAGTCGACTAAATTACGAGCTTTTTACAGTGAATAATGATCTATATATCAATGTAGTCAACGTACGTTATCAAGTAATAGTAAGTCTGACAAATAGAAAGAGAAACACTATTTTTTAGAGAAAATAGCCGTGTATACATAAAAATTAATAAAACGCGATGGCTACGTAATGATAATGGAGTTCTTAAACCGATCTGTTGTACAGATAGGAGCTGGTATATAAAGAGTCTTTTTCTTCCATTTCTTTCTTTTTATCATTTCTTGGTCGATGTTACCCAACGAAGTGGAAGGGGCAGCCGGAATTACGTTTGCTTGCAGTTGACATGTAGCCATGTTAAAGAGAATTTGATCTGTATCTTTTAAACGGGTTTTTTCGCATACCATTTTGGTCAGAGCTCCGTGTGAAAGAAAGTAATTTGGCCTGTTCAAAGAAAAAAGAAAGAACACAGTTCAAAACCTATGCCACTTACACGAGCCTCTAATAAACAAATTACGCTATGTACTTGTTAGTTGTGGTGCACATGAACGCAAAACTTTCGTAGACGAAAATAATTCTCGTTTTCTCGTATTTCACTTCTGTCTGTACTTTTTTTGTTCATTGTGGTTTTGGAAACAGAAGGAACAACAGAAAAGAAACAAGTGGTGGCAATGTTTTACAACAATGTAGTTTCCTCGCAGGATAATGGGCTTGGAAATACCCGCATGGCGCGCGAGAAACGCTTTCGTTTCTTACATTTCGCGTCCTCGTCACTTGTCAGCCCATTAACTTTGACAGATGCACACATTCTACGGGAAATTTGGCTTTAAAGTTCCATGGGTAACAGAGGTGGTGGTTTTTTCTGCGCACGGAGGGATATTTCGTGGTCGTCCAAAGGCCAAAGCCACGAGCGGCGCGTGGGTCACTTTAAAGACCCTACTGAAAACGGAAGCCGCCCATGAAACAGTGGCGGATCCACACCTTCAGATATTTTGGTCGAAAAATAAGGGGGGAGGGGCCGCCCCCCCTCCCCCCCCGGGGCCCCTCCCCTGGATCCACCACTGTGAAAAGTCTATTGCACTCAGGTGAACTATGGGGGAAATTAACTCACAGACGTTGTGTGAGAACTGAAACACTCATCGTGGATGTCATTGTTAGGTTTGTCCTAGAAACCAGTTAAATAAATGATCCAGGAAGTACAAGAGAGAAAGCGTATTTAACACAAAGGTTGTGCGTATTAAACGCAAAAAATAGCCATTGTAATCTCGATTGTGTACTCTTGTAATTTCTAAAGTGGTCCTTTTAATTGTCAGGTTTCTAAATTGATCAAGCCAAGTCCTGGTTTGCACCGGCTGTGTGTCTTACTGAAGGATTGAAGTTTGTGACAGTGTTAATCTAAAGCCTGTCCTTTATACGTATCAACCGTGATTAAAGGTATGTCTATCTAACTGCTAGTTGTGATAGGAAGCTATGTTGTTTTGCAGGGCCGAAAACGTCACTACCATGTTGAACGGCTTCGCGTGTTTTCAAATTTCTTCGCGATTATTCCAACTCGCCTGAAATGTCGCATTTCCCTGGAATTGAATTGTTGGGGACCGAAACCAAGTTTAGGAGGCGAAAGAAAGATTTTTCGTTATATAAATAAGACGTTGCGTGAGAGAATTTCATTTCAATTTTTTGGGTCGAAAAAGAAAATAGACGAGCGTGGCCTGGGAAAGAAAAAAAAGGCGGGGGAGCCTGTAGACTTTGTTTTGATGCCGCCCATTCATTATAACCAGATTCTGGTATCATGATCTGATTGGTCAGATCGCTGACTGTTGACAAGTGAGTGATAAAAAATACCCACGTGCTCGTGAATGCCATTAGAAGTCGGTTGCCCGAGCAACAGCGCTTACGCATGCTCTACTTGTCTCTCACTATGTTTCATAAGGAAATATATGAAAAGTCGGCTCGTTTAGGGTAGCGCGGGTGGACGGGTTACCCCGGACAATAGGTCATTTCCGAGTTCCCCCAGACCTCTGTTTCAAAACGAGGGTAGGTGCTCAGCCTTTGATATAGAAATCATTTTTCATTCTCATGCAAATAAAACTCATTTTCACAAGAAAGGTTGTACACCTAGCCTCATTTTGAAAGTGAGGGTTTTTGGAACTCGGAAGTGGCCTATTTTTCTCCATATCCACGGGGTCTCCGACATAAACAATGGAACAGGGTCCTGGGGGTAATGAACAGGTCAGGTCAAGTTGTTTTTCTTACTTTACTCCTGCGTAGCAGGCACCAGTTTTGTAGGGCGAAGGAAGAAATCTCCCCTTCGCGTGTTCCCCTCGCGCGGCCAGTAATAAAATAATTACGGGCGCCTGCTACGCGGGCTGTTCTTACTTTTGATGCAACGTGAAACTGATTCTAATTATTCTGGAATACTCTCCTGAAAACGAACCTAGATTCTCTCAAATAAATGCTTCGACCTCAGCAGGTTTAATAGACTTAATATCTAAACAAATCTGAAACCAGAATCAGAGACGTAGCGGAACTTTCCACGCTCGACCCAGATAAAAAATGAAAGTTTTCGCGTGGAAAATCGAACGGCCGATCACATATTCCGAATTTATTGCTGACAGTTTAGGGAATGTTGCGTTTATGAAGTCACGTGAACGTTAGCCAAGTGGATTAATTTGCATTAGAGTTCCTCGTTTATTCTTGTGATAACGAACTGTGAAAACTGCGCATCAGTGTCCGAGTAGTTTGAGGTAGGTTCTTGCAGTGGGTCATAATTCCTAACTGTTTTTGAAAAGTGTTTGCACAAGAACTGGGTTGTGTTTATATCACAACTCTTGCGTATTGTTTTGGTTTATGGTGAGTTTTAGTAGTCGACCAATATTTAATTTTCTACTATGTGAAAACACTTTCTGATGTTTTCTATAAACAACTCACTCTCCTCCCTTCCCTTCAATTATTAAAATACAGTACATACATTAGGACTTAGAAGAGTATTCTTTCAAGCAATGAACTTTGTGAGTTGTGCTTAGAAAGTGTTTATTAATTACCAGGCTGTAGTCACGATCCGTTAACTCATTATAAAACACAAATCTTTTTCACTACATTTTCCGTTTTCCCTCAGGGTTTTGTTCTCAAGAGAAAAAAAATGAACAAAATAAACATCTTCAGAGTTATTCAAACCACCAGGAATCATTCAAATTATCGACAATTTGAGAGTGTATTTATGAGAATTGTCATCTCGTCTGTTTTTATTGTTTATGACCGTTGCCACATTTAAATATCACAGCGCCCGAAAAACTAATGAACTGAGGCGAACACAAGGAAGGTTAACATCTATGGCTTTTGTCACGTTTTTTCCCCCTACATGTCGAGTTTAACAATTGTTATAAATGAACTCGACATTTGTGCTGTAAGATCGTATTAGTTAGTGTACAAATAGGCTTACAGTCGTTTAAATGCGTGGGAGGAGGCAAACATTTGTTTCGGTTTAATACGAATACAACAGTGCGTAGTTTCTAGAATTTTGCCTGTGGTGTAAATTAAATTGGAACAGGAAGAGAGAGAGAGAAATTAAGAAGGAAACTTTTCAAAATTTTCGGTTTGCTCAGAAATACAAGAATTGTACTTAAAAACGGCCAAACAAACAGCCTTTAAAGCGTCGGTTTTACTAAGAAAAACGTCTGTAAGTTCTTCTCATGGTTTCAGTCCCATGTCTATCCGTAAAGACTTTAAGGCAGATCAGCAATTTATCAAACAGCATGTCATGCTGGGATAATCATCTTGAGAGTTCAGGATATACTTGTTCACCTGGTGGTTTACTTATAATATTGGTTTGTCGAAGAGATGTGATAAGTTCAACTACCTTTGTTTTTTCCCTCCTTAGTTAAAAGCATAATCCTGAAAATGTACCATTCAAAGGCGGCTGCCTTTTTTAAGGCAATATTGAGGTCTACTCAGGTCACCAGGTTAATCGTATTTTTCTCCCTTTATTCAAAGGGCTTTTGCCTTAGGAAAATATTGAGTTTATATCAATATTTTGCATGTGTTGTAGGGGTCATACAATAGGTGTAAAGCTTGGTTTCCCTTTTGAGCATAGTCTCATTCAAAAAAAATGAAAAAGAAAAGAAAAAAGAAAGAAAGAAACGGAAGAAAAAAGGAAAAGAAAGAAAGAAAAAGTTTCTGCTACATCACCAAGGTCATTTTACTCGCGTTTCTTGCATAAATCGCGTTCGGTGAGTAAAACTGTGGCCATATTTTATTATTTCATCCTGATTAATATCGGGGTTTTTGTTTGCACTTTATTGAAATGCTACACGCCTTGTAGTATGTAAATGTAGTCGAAACCCGGTAACTCGAACCCTCTATAACTCGAACCTTCCACTAACTCGAAGCAATTTATATTTCCCTTCAGATCGTTTTCTGTATAATTTTACCCACAATAACTCGAACTCCCGATAACTCGAACTTTTTTCTATTTCCCTTGAAGGTTCGAATTATCGGGAGTCAACTGTATGTAAAGTTGGTAGCTTGAATATGAACAAATCTCCAACAACAAAAATTTGTTTTTTTTATATATCTATTGGGCGTGTTACGGTTTGTCATTAGCCGGTATAATTTGATAAATTGCGAATGAATATATGAATGAATCAATATTACTAAACGAACAAACGAAACATCTGCTTTAAAACTTCAAGTCCGTCGTATTCTTATCGACTAATAGATTTTTCCTTCGAGCAGATGTAAATTCGTTTCCTCCTGTCCGGCCACCCTGCACTATTTCCTTTTTGCTGATATTTTTGTTAGCCAGGGAACGTATTTTTTCTTAAAAAGAAGACATTATTAACAAATGTCACAGCTTTGAAGGAGACGTTTGCAAACAGACAACGAGGAGTCGGCAACACATAACTAAACTTCCAAATTCGGCGTTGAGAAATTAAAATTATCCCGTACAAGAGAGAATGAGCTCATTTTCTCTTTTCTCATATGATTCTACGCAACAGATTTGGTTTATCATCTAAACAGTAAAAATCTTTCCTGACAATTCGAACGCTATCGATTTAACTTAAGTGAAGAAAGAACAGCGAACTTATCGATCTTGGCGATGACTAGAAACCAGCTTTAAGAGATTTGTAGGCCTTCTCAGCGTTTCGTTGTTGTAACACACACTGTTGTTTTTCCTTATCGTCCCTGTGGTCGTTAAACTTTTTTTTTCAGTGTCGATAGCAATTATATCCTCGTATCCCGCCGCCATATTGGAAGGGAACTTTAGCATCTAATATGGCAACGGCAGCGAAAGCGTCAGTCAAAAAGTGAATTCTCGCTGCTTCAAACTTCTTTGTTCTTACTCCATCTTGTTCAATTTGTCAAACGTGTAGAATTTTTATGGAGTTGATTCTAAAGAACTGTATCTAAGTCAATGCACAAAAAAGAAAAATTAAATCGTTTTCTCGGGTTCACGTCCCTCATAAACGCGAAATTAGGAAGTTTCACATCGTTGTCGTTCAACAACTGCAAAGAAATGTACAGAAAAGTGCGAAGTTGTTGTTTTGTTAATCTAAACCTAGTGTTTTTTTTTCGTTCTGTTGCCGTCGCCGTACTCGTTGCTAAAGGTCCCTAATGACGCATTACCACGTTCAAATTGATGAAACCAATCTTCCAGCCTCGTCTCCAAGCCAGTTCGCACTATCAGAGTTTGCGAAGGAGGCTTGGAACTGAGCGCAAGTCCTGAATACGCCCGGTAAGAATACGCCCTATGTAGCTAGTCATTCACGTGGTCCCCCCCTCCCAAAGCCTGCGACTGCGGTTGGCTTTTGTGAATACGGCAAGATCTTGTTTGTGATTGGCTAAAATTGATGGAAGGTTTATCAAGACGTTCGGCACTGAAATGTGTTCGGCAGATGTAGTTTGAAAATGCCAACGTTTAAACGTAGTTTGCAAGGGAGAGTGCAGAACAATAACACTAGCCCCAAGTAAAGGGAATGGCAGTTTTTAACTATATGAGACTTGAAAAGTCACATTTGAATCTGTGATGTCGTAAAAAGTTTGAAATACTTGGAACGTTCGACCGCAAATTGTTACAATGAAAATCGTACAGTTTATAACATTTTCTCGCGGAAAAGCAAATATTTTCGTGAACGGCGAACTTAAATTATTTTTGTAATCTGCATTTTCAAGATCTTTGTAGTCTTAAGATGTTGTTTTTCCTTATCTATCTAATTTTAGAAAAGAACTTTGTGGTGATGCAATCAGTGTGTGATAATGATATTGTGGCTCTGCGCAAAGTATAAATTAATTCTAACGGGTAAAACTCAGCGGCTAACGTTATGAAAACTCTAAAATGGCGAGCAATCTTTTCAAAAAACAGTATTGGTTTTAAGTTTCGCTCCTACTTTTTCATTCAGACATGACTGTGAATCAGCTTCGTTAATGGTCAGTGTGTTGTTATCGTTACTGCGGCTTACCCACTGTTTTTAATTCTTTCCCGCACTTCGGGAAAGCAGTTTTGGTTGCCACAGCTTCTATTGTTCAGGACTGTTGTTAAATCTGCTGTAGTTTGTCAGCTTTCTATTATAAACTCGCTTGCTGTGGTGACAACATGGTCCAGGTATGCGAATTACACTCGAGAAGTTAAAAGACTGAATGTTCGCGAAGGTAAGAGGAAACATTTCTCTTAAGATCTGCGAAGTTAGGTTAATGTCTGAGGCAGAGATATATTTAGTAGAATAGCTCGAAGTGAAGCCAAAATTTCAGCAAAACGCGCGTGATAATCGCCGCAGCTGTTTGTTATGGCGATAAACTGCTAAAAATAATAATTCAGTTTATTTTTCTGTCATTCAAATCCTAATATTTTTTATTAAAGAAAGATACTGAAATAAATGTATATGGGCCAAAAACCTGTATCGGGTCATAGATCGCATATTTCCAAAGTTTTTTTTTTCCTTGATGTCTCTTTCATGTTTCCCGTTATCCAAATCATCAGCACTTATTTCTTTTGCCGTAGAACAAATCAAAATTAAGCGTGCTAATTTACGGCCTTTTTTGGTTAACAGACTGGACTGGTCTGCCAACGGTTGTTTTTCAAATCTCTTCCTTAGTTTTCATTACGTAAATGTATATTTCCTAGTTTATTTCATTCCTTCGTTATTGTTTGTTTTATACCGGTCAATCGGGCATGTACCATCATATTATCATTCTTTATTTCTCAGATATCCTTTAGCTCCAGAAAAATGTGCGTTGTGACGACTTTTATAAATGCTAAGCCATTAAAACAAAAGAGTAAGTTTGCGCTAGGGCTTGCAGCGGCCATTAAAACTGATCAAACATATTATCTTCAGAACTGAAGCTTCTCCGAAGGAAAATATACAGAAAGAAAAATGTTGGGAAATTCATTGTGTGTATGAAGTCTTAATGTGTCATAAGTTCTCTTGTCTTCATGCGAGGTTGACGGGTAAAATCTTTTACATATTGTGGTCAGGCTTACAGAGCTCTGAACTTAGCTCAGTCCATTCCTCGTGGAACTACTGTAGTTATCATGAAAACTTTGCCAGCACTGCAGTAGCTTATTATTATTATTTTTATTTTTGCCAGTAATTAATTCTCGAATATGCAACTGAACTATTGAACTACCGGTATGGCTTCATGTTGTTGGACAGTTCACTCTCTCTCTCTGTTTTTCTTTTTCTATTTTTTTTTTTTTTTCAAAACAAGTCCGCTAGTGTCCCTGCTGGAACACATGATTTCTCGTAATGATACTTCAACTTCACTAGTTTTGGATCGCAGAACAGGAATTATAAAATTATAAATCAAATTACCCAAAAACGTTATCATTTATTGGCACTTCCGTTATCCCCCAGTCGCCTCTGATCTAGCGAATGCAATTTCTTGAGTGGCAGACGTCAGTTTCATTTTTTTTTCTGTATTTTTTTTTTCATACTCACCTTTTTAACCCTTTAAGCCCTAAGTGTGATCAGCATCAAATTTCTCCTTGTAATATCAATTCTTTCTAAAACAGAGAGGTCATGAGAATTACGGACATGACCACACAAGATGAATGTGCTTGATATTTTATCAACTTCTCCACATTACTTCTGTAGAAAATGAATAGGGGCAACAAATGAGAATTCAAATTTTGATCCTAGGGTTTAAAGGGTTAATAGAGAGGATAACGCTAATTATGACTCATCCAGAAATCTGCGATTTGTTCTGTTTTTATTGTATTAAGCATCGCCTGGTGAGTTCGTCAGTGTACAAAACGAAAGTTCATTACCTACTGAACTTCCTAACTAGCGATTATTATATTCCAGTACAGTCCCCTCTTTAACCTTTGGTGTTCTTATACACAGTAATTTTCAAGAAGTTATAATAACTCCTATAGTTAGGTTAATTTAACTCCTTACAGTGTAGTTATTTTTGGGGGGAGTTATTTTAACTCCAAAAAAGGAGTTTAAAGAACTCTCTTTCAGGAGTAAAAGTCACCACAGATATTGAGGAGTTAAAATAATCCCCAAAAAGGAGTTATCCTGTACCTAAAATTTTACTTTCAGAGTTAAAGTAACTCCAAAAAGATTAAAAACAACCCATGTAAGGAGTAAAAATAACCCCATTTTCGGAGTTATTTTAACTCCAGAATGGGAGTTAAAAGAACTCTTTTTCAGGAGTAAGAACGACCCTAAATTTGGAGTTAAATTAGGAGTTAAAGTAACCCCATAAAAGGGTTTATGCTGTACCTAAAATTTTAACTCCATTTTTGGAATTAAAATAACTCCCTAGAAATTACTGTGTAACGCGCAAAGGGATTATACGGTAACAGTTAAATAATAGTTTAAATAATTATGCTCCCTGGCTTACACCAGAGATAAAAAGGATGATGTTTGAGAGGGACAAACTGAAAAGGGCTGCAATTATCAACAATTCAGATGCTCTTTGGACCGAGTATAAGATTGCTCGAAACAATGTAAATGCTAATATCAGGAAAGCAAAAACTAACTACTATAAAAGGTATTTCGAAACAAATCTAGGGGATATTAAGAAATCATGGAAAGGAGTAAACTCAATATTGGGCCGAAATTTACCAACAACTGAAATAAATAGAATAGATGTTGGAGATAACTCAAGTACTACCCCATTAGAAATCTCTAATGCTCTTAATTATCACTTTACTCACATTGGGCCTAGGTTAGCCGATAATATTCCCAAAACTAGTGTTTGTTTTGAGGACTACATTACGCCATCAAATTCTAGTTTTACCCTGAACGAGACTCACTGCGGTGTTGTTCACCGTTTAGTGAGTTCGCTTCGAGTCGACAAGGCTACAGGCCTAGATGGTATTTCTGCAAGGCTTTTGAAAGAAGCTTGTCCTGAAATCGTGCCTTCTCTCACCCATATAATTAACCTATCCATTAGGTGTGGGTATTTTCCAGACGAGTGGAAAATTTCCAAAGTATTACCTTTATATAAGGAGGATATTAAGTCTGATCCTAATAACTATAGACCTATATCTATTCTACCAGTTGTCAGTAAAATAATCGAAAAGGTTATCTTCAAACAACTTTATGAGTACCTAACTCACAATAATTTGCTGACAGTTTCTCAGCATGGCTTCAGACCGATGCATTCTACTTTGACTGCCTTGCTTGAAGCTACTAACAACTGGTACTTAAATATTGATGATGGCCTAATTAACAGTGTACTCTTTCTGGATCTTAAGAAAGCCTTTGATACGGTTGACCACAGCATATTGTTAAAAAAACTGCAACTTTATGGTCTCGACCCGCATGCAGTTCAGTGGTTCAAATCATACCTATCAAATCGCTTTCAGAGTACTTATGTAAATGGAACTCTATCAGACTATCTTCCTGTTAGTTATGGGGTCCCACAAGGTTCTGTACTTGGACCCTTGTTGTTTCTCATTTATATAAATGACCTACAAGAATGCGAGCTGTCATCATCTGCACTCATGTATGCTGATGACACCTCGCTTACCCTTTCCGCCTATGACCCCGCAACTCTTGAAGAAAAGTTAAACAAAGACTTGGATGAGGTTCAAAAGTGGCTGAAATCCAATAAACTCACATTAAATGTCAAAAAGACAAAATATATGATAATTGGAAGCCACTACCGACTAAGGCATTTAAATGGTGACTTAAACGTTACTGTTAATAGTCAACAATTGACTCGGGTGACTAATTATAGGTATCTGGGAATAGAGGTTGACGAGGCATTGGGGTGGCAATCCCATGTAGATACCATCTGTAAAAAGGTATCTGCAGGTATAGGGGCCTTAAAACGTATTCGTTCCCTGGTGCCTCGCCAAACCCTACTGAAAATGTATGATGCTTTAGTCGCTCCTTATTTTGATTATTGCTCCGAAGTCTGGGGATGTATGGGAAAAGGTCTGTGTGACCGACTCCAGAGATTGCAAAATAGGGCTGGGAGAATTATAACATTTAGTGATTATAATACAAGATCTGCGGATATCCTCCAAGACTTGAGATGGGATACCCTTGAGCAAAGACGCTCTAAACAGCTCGCAATAAGTGTTTTTAAATCTCTAAATAACCTTTACCCTGAGAGTTTAAAGAACATGTTTAAACCAACCTCTGGGGTTCATTCCTACAACGTGCGAGGTGCCTCAAACAACATTTTTGTACCAAGGCCCCGTACTGAAGCTGCTAAGAGGGCCTTTAGCTATAGGGGAGCAGTCATGTGGAATGGCCTAGAAAATGTGCTTAAAGACGAGATAAATCTCAACTCTTTCAAGTCTGCCCTATCTCTGTCTTGAACCAGGGATTGCCTTGAGGGAGTTGAGATAGAATTTTATTTTAGTTATTTAATGTACCTTTAAGGTTGTTTGATTTTTGTGTGATTAATTATAGGATAGATTTTCTTAATATATAGATATATTTAAGCATTAATGTAGTTACTCTGAAAATTTTGTTTTGTAAACGGCTCACTGGAAGAGCATTTTTAATGAAGTGATACCGTTAATAAAGCTTTGATTGATTGATTGATTAGTTCTCAAAAGATCGCTTATGTCATCTTCAGTTCTATTTTTAGCTGGTTTCCATGAAATCGCTTTGTTCGTGCAGATCGCTGAACTATTTCAGCGATCCTAGCGTTCTCATGGAGGCTAGCGGGATGTAATGAAGGTACATTTGATGTACTTTTGAGGTAATCGTGTTCCCAGACCCCGCCCTAGATCAGCAGCACAGCTTCATTGGTGATGAGAAGAGACGACATCATAGTTACGTACTGACATTTTATACTTTTACTTTCATTTGTGTTCCCCACAGGGTCATGCTTTCTTTCATTATCTGGGCATTTAAACCGTAGTTTTTCTCAATCTACTTAACATGGAAGCGGAAGACGAGAAGCCAAACGAAAGGGATCTTTTGTGTGGCTGGAGGTCATTTCGACCGAAAGTTCTTCAGAAACTCAACACACCGAAATGGTTTCTTGTGTTTCTTACAATCTATTCCTTCATGCAAGGTAAGAACAAACGGTAATAACCGGTTCAGCTTCTTGTCGAATTCGCTACTTTCTAGACTAGTTCGCATCACGGTCGCTACAAATTACTTTCTGTAAACCACTGAAAAGATTTCTTTAATCCAACTAGAAAACTGATAAATCTTTTAATATATTTCTCGTTCTCTTAAGCTTGCCCCTGTGAAAGTGAAAATTGTGGACTTTGTTAATAGGGAGTAAGCCCAGTATGTAGTTAGCGAACTCGAACGAAGTGAATTTGACAAGTAGCGAAACCAGTGTAAAGCGAACGAACTGCTGCTACATTAATCTGAGTTTACTTACGTCTACCTTATTTGTCACAGAAATGTTACTGCTCAAAATCGGTGTTTAATTTTAAAATTTTGCTTAACTGTATATATCTGCTTAACAAGTGGCGAATAAAGTTCATTCATTCATTCATTCAGAAAGAACGCTGTTAAAAGTTAACGTGCGAGAACATTTTCGAGTCATTTAATGATGCGGGAACACTTTCCGCTTTTTCTTAGAAATTTCCGAAAGATCGAAACATCACTGTTTTTGTTTTGATTTGTGTTTTTTTCCCCTGTTATCCCGTGACTTGCGCGCGCTTGCCCTATGACATATAGAAGAAATCGACGCGCAAGGCAGTGTGCTTTAGGAAATAATATATAGATTTAGCCAGGGCTAAAAGTGAAGCTTTCGTTAATATCTATAGTTTACTAAACAAAATACGAAATCGTGCAACGGCAAGGGGCGAAGGCAACGAAAACAGCCCAAAAAATCAGTAGGTCTAATTAGCAAAAAACAACTTTTTTGTACATTTCTTTGCCTTTGCTTTGCACGACTACAACGTGAAACTTCCAGAAACTTCCTTGTTACACGTTTTATGGAGGAAATGTTGTAGATGTTCCCGTTCACTTTTTTTCGCTGCCGCTCATTTTCACCATGGTGGCAGCTAGCATTCCCCTTTTTCTCATTACCGCTATAGAATTTTTATGTTTTTTTTCCAACGAAATTGGTCTCCTTTTTTTTTTTTTAGCTCTTTGTCTGTTATCCACGTCAATGTAGATATTGAAATCAAGTCGACAGAAAGAATCAGCTTTTGTTGTTGTTGCTTTATCTCTAAAAGGCCGGGAAGCTATGCGATTTACCGCCGAAACGGGTGGATGCTTGAAATGCAAACTTTCATCCCGGCTTATATGAAGGGGTGGACGTACATACGGACGTATCCCGTACGGACGATTTTCTCAAAACCAAAATTTCTTAGATGCATAAACCTATAAACTGCACTAAACCAGAAACTCATAAGGGGTTGAACAACCTGTCATGAGTTTCTGACTAAACCTATTGTTGTTTTTGACGTTCTCGTTGCCGTCGCGTCGTGGGATCGTAAGGGAAGATCACCACAAAACACGCAAGTAAAAACCCTGTCACGTTCGTCACACACAAACGTTTTGCCGTCTTCTTCTTAGCTTTCTGGCCAATATCGACTTAAAAAAAGAAGGCAAACAAACGGACGAAGAAAGAAAGTGAATTAGAAATAGGATCACTTTAAGATGCAGAAAAAACGCCTCTCCCCTAACCCAAAAGTTTTGCTCTTAGTGAGTAACCTTGTCCCCAGGACCTTTCGCTAACAAAATTGGAGGAACGGGAAAGCCCTGGGAACGAGGTTGCTGAGTGAGAAGTTAGTGTTAACGTTGGGTTGGGTGAGGGGCAGGTGGGCAGTTTGTTAGATAAGCGATTTGAAATACAACGCGATCTAGAATTTCTGTTGTGTTAACGGTAGTTTCTTTTTCACAGGAATGATTGCAACTGGGCTTACAGCCGCGGGGCTCACCTCACTCGAAAAGAGATTTAAACTTAGCAGCAAACAATCCGGAATGATAATAGCAGCCAACGATGTATCGGCCCTTCTTCTCATTATTTTCATTAGCTACTTCGGAGGTCACAGAAACAAAGCCCGCTGGCTTGGCATAGGAGCCCTCGTAACTAGCCTTGGATGTCTTCTCTTCGCGCTTCCGCATCTCCTTGTGGGAAAATACACTCCTCTTGAGATTCAAAGAACTGGACTCGGGGACACCTGTTTGTTTAACACCACTGGAACTCCGAGCGGTGTCGAGAAATGTACCGAGGCGAAAGGGTACACGGCGTGGAAGTACATGTTAGTGTTTGTAGGTGCCAAGCTTCTTTTAGGTGCGGGGACCACGCCCTTGTTTACACTTGGTCCAGCCTACATTGACGAAAATGTGAGTCCTAAGGTGGCGCCCATGTACCTTGGGGTGTGGTTCACGGCCACGTTTTTTGGTCCCGGCATTGGTTATGTGGCTGGAGGATCGCTTCTTAACGTTTGGGTTGACCTTATACAGGTATGGCTATTACAGAACTTAAAGTTCAATACTCTCATTTTCCGTTTGCATCTAAATTCAGTGAACTAGGCCGGGTTGTTCAAAGCGGGATAAAGATAACCCTGGATTTAGCGCGAAATTTGGATTCAAATCTGACCGCTTACGATGCAGAATTCTTTTTGCCTACAATTTGACTTGTGGGTGCTGTGAATGTCTAAGTGACAAGGAAAATAAAGTTTTGCCCCAGGTTATCGATAATCGGCCCTCCACTAACGGAGTCCCTCTGTGCATTTCCATAATCCAATTCATCAAAATACCACAGAAAAATATTGATCGAGAGTATTTTTAGGTATTCCTTCTATAGCATAAAAAACGTCACCACAGTAAAGATCTACCCATCAGTTTTGTTTTGAACGATCACACGTGGTGAATGTAATCTACAGACTTAAAGGTTAGGACACCAATATAATAAACAACCCCACAGAACAGTGAGGCCACGTCCACACGAATCCGGATATTTTTGAGACTGCATATTTTTTTCCGGCGTTAAACCAATCTGAAGAGTGAATTCAAAAAGATGCGGTTTCAGAGAGCGGATTGACCGGTTTCGTGTGGACAGGAGGTCAATTCGTGTATAAAAAGCCATGCGGTTTCAAAATATCTGGGCCTAATGAACGGGAGAAATGGATCAGTATTGAAACTTCCTACCTATACTCCCCCCCCCCCCTTAACCAAAGTTTTGTCCTAGGAGAGGGGTAGTTTGACAGTCACCTAGGGTCTTACACTGATCTGGAAAGATAATGAAATTCAAATGATTGATATTTTTATCAGAAAAGTGGTAAAGACAAGAGATTTTCTCAACGGTATGTTTACTAAAACTTTATCTTTAAACCTCATCAATTTTTTTTTGGTTTCCAGCCCCCTGGAGTTGACTTAACGCCGGAAGATCCCCGCTGGATCGGGGCCTGGTGGCTAGGATACTTTTTCGGGGGTCTGCTGTTGTTGTGTACGTCTATAGCCCTGCTAGGTTACCCTAAAGAGATGCCGGGAGCCAGGGAACGAAGAATGAATGCAATCAGAGAGGGTCTTCTACCTGCTCGCGATGAACACATTCAAGGTCGACTGAAGGACATCTTACCGGCTACAAAAGCTATTCTAACTAACAAGACATTCATGTTTAACACCTGTGCATTTTGCTGTACTACACTCATCGCCACGGGTCTCGGACCTTTCGTCTCCAAGTTCATACAGTCACAATTCGGCAAGTCATCTTCAACGGCCGGTATGTATGAGCAATTACAGTGTTTTAGAATTTTAGGTTTGGACTAAGGAGCTGTGACACTATTCTTAGGTATTTCCTACAACCCTAAAAACTTATATAAATCAAAGAAAATCCTGAAATGATGGTTCAGTTTTACTCAAAATTTCTCTGCGGCTATACATAAACTCTTAGTGTGTGTTTTTTGCACTCTACAGCCAGGATGTAAACAGATTGCTACTTGAAAAAACTGGCCCACCTTTTTCAAGTTAAACTACTGTGTTGACCAAAACAAAAACCGATCATGCCTTGTTTTCCTTTTAACAAGATCATGTGATATCTTTCTTTTGGAGTCCCAAGTATGAAAAATGATGACTGAGAATTGCTAGCCTCTCAGCTTTGACTTTGACTTAATGTGGAACTCTTCATGACTTAGCTCCTTTAAGTAGAGTCGTAGTCGAAAACTTGTATCCTATTGGAAACCTTGGGCCTGACATGTTTTCCCTTTGTGTGTTTCCTCAGGAATTCTTTCCGGTATCGTAATTATCCCAGGGACCGCCGGTGGTATTTTCCTTGGGAGTTATCTTATCAAGAGAGTGGATGTAAGAAAGTCGTGTAAGATAGCCGCCAAGTATTGCTTCATTTTTCAATTCATCGGCACCTGGGCCGTGTTAACTTTCCTCATTCCCGGATGTAAGACCACGTTGCTCGCTGGAATCAGTCATCCGTATCCATTCAACAACAGGTACAGAAATATCATTTAAGCATAAAAGCTGATAGTCGCGTAATTCTCTTGCTTAAGGGGCAGGCATGATTACTGTTTCAGAATAGATTTTGATTTTGGCGATAATGATGATGATGATGATGATAACGATGATTATGATGCTATGTTGACAGCAGTGGTGATTATGATGGTGAAGGTGCTGTTGCTTATGATAAATCATTATGATGGCCATGATTGCTGTGATGATGGTGGTGGTGTTGGTGCTGATGATGGTGATGACGATGTTGATGATGATGATGATGATGATGATGATGATGATGTTGATAAGCTCAATTATAGTACAGTCGACCCCCGCTTAATAAGGACACCTCATTATTACGGACAGTTTGCTTTGTTCCTGTGGAAAGCCACACATTTTCTCCAAATTCAACCCGCTCAATACGAACACGCGTTAATGTTGACAACGGATACATGTTTCTTTAACAGCATGTCAATGTTCCCAGTGTCACTGTAAACCGGATTGAATGATATTTTCAAGCATCAAACTAGTTATGCAGAGAACGGTTTTGATTAAGCAATACATAGATGAGCGATTTTAGAGTGTTTTCGTGGATTTAGTCCGCAAAATGACGGAGTTGTGAAAGTTGGTGATGTTGACGATGCGAATGTCCTCTTTTATTTCTTTCGTGTTTTGTTCTAATAAAAAGTGTGTTCTGACTTTAATAACACGACCCGCTTAATACGGACACTTTCTTTGGCTCCTTCAGGTTTCGTATTAACGTAGTTTGACTGTATCAAACATCGGGCACTGTTAGTTATGGAAAAGACATTTCTAACCTACTTACAGAGCAACGTAGTGCGATTAGGGGGTCAGATAGTCGACCAATCGTCGCTAGAGCCCGATTTTATTTAGAATCAACTAAGCGACTTGAATATTTAGAAAATCTCGCAACACACACAAAAAACTTTAGGACGTCCTATCCTGTCCTGCGTCGTACAAGTCCTATTAGCTACTAAGAGTTACCGAGAACTTCGGTTAATAATGGTTTATGTAATATTTGAGGGGAGTTGTAGTTTACAATGTGCAAATGTCGTATAGAGCTGTTGTTTTGGTCGTGACACGGAGCTTTTAAAGTAAAGATTGCGTGACCATGAAGCAAGGTGGACACGGTGTGGTGACTCTTGTTTCTATTTACAGGACCCTATCTGAAGTAGATATTTCAGCGCCATGTAATTCTCTTTGCCACTGCAGTGGTCGTGATTACGATCCCGTATGTGGAGTAGATAAAGTGTCGTATTTTTCTCCGTGTCACGCTGGATGCACGGTACAAGTCAAGGACAAAGAGAAGATGAAGAAGACCAACTTACTCTCCATTGAAAAGGTAGGCACAGAAGATGAAGCAGAGTAAACGACATCGGGAAAAGAACCAAGGCTTAAGCCGTCATTTTTGTAGGTTAAGTCTAATACACCGTCCAAGTATGACTTACTGTAACCACATACGACGTTTCGAGCGCTTCCATTTCCACAGAACGCATAGTCTCAGAGTTTATCGCAGGTAACTCACGAAATCATGTGCACCAACATTGGAAGGGCAAGAAGACAAAAAGTGTCCAACAATTTTGACTGAGACTTGCAGCAAGGTCTTGTTGGATAAATCCAGACCCGTCCGCAGTCTAATTGTTCCTTGTTATCTACAAGGATAAAAGCCTAGGGAAATGAAATAGGTTCCCAGGGTGCAACACGTTCTCTTCAAATTTGCCTCAGGAGAGACTGAGAACGAGTCAGGGTTATCGTATCATTGCGTGTAGTAGGAAATTAACTGTTGGTCAGTGGACACAGGTCTCTTAACAACATTCTGTTGCCAGTTATCTTTGTCGGGGGCGCTAGCGGTATGTACTGATGATCGAAAAGTAGCCTCCATGCGGTACTACCCGCAATGAGAAGAAATCCTGTTTAGATTATGCAGTTTTTCTTAAGTCGACCATATTTCCCAACGGGCCTTGAGCAAGTTAGAAACCATTCTTCCATCTACGGTCGCGAAAAACTTAAACGTTGTAAAAAAAAGCTGTGAAACTTTGCGCGCTCAACCAGCAAATAGTCTTAAATTGCGATTCTAAGGGGTTGCGAAAACCTGTACGGTAAATATTACCGTGTTATCTGACCTCAACATCATTCTTCTTTCGTTTAGTTTTAATATTTTAATTCAGTTGTCTTCTTTTCACAGAATTATGTCAACTGTCGCTGCATCCCGTCCCCAGAGACAAGCGTTCCATATGGCTCTGCTAAACAGGGAACATGTGACCGAGATTGTAAGAACCTCATCCCCTTTCTTTTCGGTGCTGTGGTGTTGCTGATCTTCAACTTCATGAATGCCACACCCAACAAGACTGTCGTGTTAAGGTGGGTTTTTTTCTGGCCACTTCAGAAACGAGAAGGGGACTGGGCTGAGTCAACGTTCACAAAGACTTCTGGGACTGTTCCCGGGGACAGGGAGAAAATTGGCCAATAGCTGACCGCCGCGTCCTTAGTAACCATCCCGGAAGTTCGTTTCTGCGATAAAGGGCGCTTTCCATTTGACAGAACTGGTCGGCCGGATCATTGCTCTACCATTGCTCTACCAGTCAGTTTGAAAATGAAATAGGCTTTTTCCAAGAGTTTTTGCTGAAGGACCATCTCCTTCGTGCATACTATTCAGGATTTGACTGATCTGGCCGGAGAGTTTTGATTAAAAGAGAAATTATCACTGCGACGGGAAAGGAAATGGAAAGCGCCCTAGTTGTAAGTGCCGGAATTTTTTCAAGTTCTGGTGTGTTTGTTCATGGCAGACGCAAACGTAATACGCTTTTTTAAGCTCGTTTTGCTCTTGTTCATCCTTTTTTTCTCTTAAGCTGCTTTAACTTACTCTCTTACTAATGAACGCCCCACTTTACCCTAAGATCAAAGTTGGAATTTTCATTTGTTGCTCTTAATGCTACAGAAGTAGTGGCGAGAAGTTAAAGAGCAAGGTTAAGCAAATTCGAATTCCTCTCCCGAGATCTTGTCGTTAATTCTCGTGGGTCTCTCTGTCTTACGTAGCATTGATATTACGAGGCGAAAGTGGATGGAGATCATTCTTAGGGCTTAAAGAGTTAAACAGACACTGAATTACGCTCTGGCAATTTCACTACCCCTCATTTTTAACCTTCTCGAAGGGCCTGTTGATATGAAGGGGGTTAGATCTGTTTGGCAGGCTGGCCCGGCTAATGCCTGTGTCCAGTGTATTCCAAAATGTTCACATGACCAATTCCAGCCCGGTTTCGGGCTGATTCCTTCACATAAAAATACTGATGTAAAAATCATCGCGTCTACCGAGCTGGGCCGTTTAGAACGCACTAAATAAATATGGCGAAGTAGCTTAAGTATGACCATGTAGTAAAAGCTTCTGGACAGAACCTCTGTGGTGTACTGTTTCTGTTTGACTTGTCCTTCCAACAATCATTAGCAAGTTGTAAATGACAGACAAACCAGAGAGCACATGACAATCTTTCTTGTTGGTTTTCTCACTTTCAGATGTGTGCCAGACAATCAGCGGACCTATGCTTTAGGGCTGCAGTGGTTGTTTCTGTGTATGTTTGGGTCCATGCCGGGTCCCGTGGTGTTTGGCGCATTCATAGACAAGACCTGTATTTTATGGGAGGAGACATGCAGTGGAAGAGGCAGTTGTCTTGAATACAACAACGAACTGCTCAGTTACCTGTTAGTTGCAGCTGGACTCTTCTTTCAAAGTAAGACGTTTTCTTGTGTAACTGTGCTCATTTTTATGTTCAGTGATGTAACGGCTATTAGTAAACTTACGCGAAAGGTCGCCTGATGAAGGAAGCCGGCAAACCTTGTGTTACAAGCGTGACGATAATTTTGTATGAAAAAAATGTTCCGTCAAACTTCACCTTCCTTTAAGCAGATCGTTTTGTAAAAGACCAAAATACGGTAGTATTTAGTGAAGAGACGCAAGTGATAGCCCTGTCACGTTTGTCACACATACACACGTTTTGTCCTCCCCTTTTTGCTGCTGCCCTGTTGCGCTTGATGTTGTGTTTGGAGAACAAATTTTGTCCCAGTTTCCTTAGACTTTCAAAAGAGTCCTTCGTCGGATTTCATATGGCGCGTCGCTCGCGGTCGGCCGCTTCGCGGCCAAACAAGGCTTGCTCCGCTCGCGAAGAGGTCGACTTGTAGCAAGTCTACAGTTTCCTTTGCAACTTTCTAACGGAAATCTTTAGCGCCCCCAATACCGTTCAGGGCCGACTGTATGTATTATTTCTTTCTTCCCAGTTCTTTCAGCGGCTCTTTACTTCGGTTCTTGGTTCTTCTGTAAGTCAATCGACTCAACCCCAGCGGTCCCGGATGTAGATCATCCCTCCACCCCACAGTTACAACATCGCCTAAGCCCTCCCCAGACACCAGTACCAGGCTTTGTGTTCCGCCAAGAAAAACAGGCGACTGATCAGCAGGCTGATCCAGAACAGGAAGCTCTTGCGCAGGCTGGTCCTGACAGCAGAAGTTCTTCCCCAGTCCCTGGTATTGCGCGGTATTCCATTGATGATGACAGTGTTTGTCTGTCTTTCAAAACTGCTGGTGATGAGAGTGAAAGGAGATTTTTACCGCAAAGCGAGTCGTCGATTTAAAGGTGACTCAAAGATACAAAAAACGTGTGCCGTTTATCGACTTCTTCCTTCCCTTTGAGAGATTCGTCAAGCACCTTAGAGTGTTCTGCAAGGAATTTTTAGATAACCCAGGTGGAGATAATGCAAATATAGTCATCTATTTGTTGGTGAATTTTAGATATAGCAAACTTGTATCTTTCGTGCTTCACATTCGTGAGGAATTATTTGGGTATCTAATGGCATTTTACGTTAAGACGGGTCAATAGTCGATTTAAGGTTCGTAAGGAATAGAGGTAATATGACAGCTTTTAGATGATAACTAGCAGCCAGGTAAACTGCTCCATCTTTCCATGCACTCAGGAGATGGTTATCCTGTGCAGGAACGTTTTGTTGTAACTGTAGCTGTTGTTATCTTGATTCTCAAAGGAAGAATAGGAAAGTTACATGTCAACGATTGATATTAGAAAAAAAATGTCGAGGTTAAGCAACGAGAATACTGACATCCCGGAAGTCATGATTAGCAACCGGAGGTTCCATGTCCGATGGAACGCTTCTGTCTCACACAACGAATCTGAATGCCTTCGTTTTAAATCCCGCTGTACGAATGTGTTGAGTCAGAGCACTGACAGAGAGAAAATATCAACTTCAGTTGCCATTTTTGACGTCAATGTTCCCGCTGCTTAAGGTCCCTTTTTAAAAAAAAGCCCATTCCATTTCAACATTGCAGCGTTAACATATCCTGGCCGCATCTTAAATCTTAATTATTGTGATCTCGCAGTATAAAACTTTGGAATGCTGTCCACATTATGAGTAGTATAGGGCGCATAACATAACCTACACCACTTTAGAAGCTATACTTAGAAGTAAAAAAGGTCGGCACGAAACCTAATACGATCGTAATATACATAATGATATGAAATATCAAATTATTATTATTATTATTATTATTATTATTATTATTGTTATCATGGTTATTGTTGTTTTTGTTTTCTTGTTTGACTCCCTCACTGATGCAGTACAAAAAAGGTATCAAATGTAAGAATAATTTTGACAGAGGAATTTTTACACATTCTCCTTTCACGTTTGAAATGAAGAAAAACTGAAATAAGTCATTATTATAAAACATGTAGTTTGAGGGATACACTATTCACTTAGGAAGCACAGATTATGAGCGATAAACTCAACGAATGTAGATACAGCTGAACGTAGGACCGATACTTAGTTAAAAAATTGCTTGGGACAGATGAAAAACTCAGTAAGTGCATAGCAGCTTCATTATGATACAATTTTAGCAACGATTATGCAGCAGTACTGTTTGGATTTGACTTTGTTCCATTTACCATGTAATTAATATTATATATTTTTGATATTGCTTTTCTCCGTTTTATTTTAATTGGTGGTCGTTTTATAGATTTTTTTTTGTTTTGGGGGAATTATATATAAATATTTTCGTTATTTTTCATATATTTAAACACCATAGGTGTAATTCAGCTCAAAAAAGGCTTTCACCCAGCAGCTTTTCTCAGTATTGGGTTATTTTTGATGCACATTAAGGTATAAAAACAAATCACTTATTTTCACTGCATGGGATTTAAATCACTATGTCAATAATCCATGATAAGCAGTCATGAGGTAGCTTTGAAAAAGATAGCGTGGAATCTAGAGAAGATTGACAAGTATCTGTGGGATTGTTTTGAGAGAGTTTATCTAGTGAAAGTTTGTCAACGCTAATAATAACCAAGGGAAATATTTTAAAGATAGTGCTTAGGCTGAGATTAAGGATTAGAATATATCTGAGCGATGTCTTTGTGTTTCTGGTTTCTCAAAATCAGCGAAAAGTCAGTAAACTAGAAGTCAGAATAGATCGTTTTCACATGACGTCACAGGGACTAATTTGTGCACAAAATTAAACAGTGAGACGGCGGCCATGTTTGTCTACCGAAATAATCCTCTGAGAATGTAACTCTGTTCTCATGTAGAATCTTCCTTTTGTTTCAAGAAATTTACCTAGCTCCTAACCACGTGAGTTAATTCGACCTATAAATAGCAACTCTCTCATTATTTCCGCCTTTAGAAGAGGCATTACATACCGTTATTAGTTCGCTGATCTTGGCTCTTGTCCCCCAAGTGCTTGCTCGGCCACTTTCGATCCAGGCCACCTCTCTTTTTCTATGTGAGCGAAATATTGCTTTATAATGCAACGTTTGACCTTCTTAATAAGTTCGTTCCTAGGGTCTCTCTTGTTTTAATTGTCTCCTTCGTTGTACGTTTTCGAGAGCTTCTGTTTCTTGTAAGTGCTCAGTTAAGGAAAATTCTTAAAGAGTTAATAGTACAGAGCTGAGAACAGAAAATTCAGAACTAAAGAGAGTCAAGTTGATCCTTAAAAGTGCCAGATTTGTTTAAAAGACTTCTCCCTAATATTCCAACCTATCGTAACAAATACATCTTTCCTATTTTCCCGCGTGGGTTTGTCTTTTAAACAATTTGAATTCAAAATCCTTTCCCTAATACACTTTTTCAGTCTAATACTTTAAAAAATTAGTTCTTTCAGTAATTACGTTCAAATTTATTCAAGTGCATTTATATTCAGTTAGTACTGTACGCTTGTATATAGGATAAAAGAGAATGTTTTTAGCAATGACACGAGGAAGCAGACTTTTTTGACAGCCCTGTACTGCTTTGCTACTTCTCGAAAGAAGGTCGTTCTTTTGACCTAAGCCCATTCCCAACACAAGCCCTTTTTAACACTATAACGTAAATTTTACAACTGGTGTTTTAGAGTGAATTTTTCTAGAAGTAAGCAGTAAAGGTGCACCACAAGAGACTGTTTTCCTCATTGCTCGAGTTACTTGAAGATAGTTGAAACCACACTCTTGTCGAAGCCAATCAGTGGTTGATGCTAATAATTCTAAAATTTGATCAATGTTATACAAGATTGTTCCGTGGATTCGCGTTTTAGATGTAATCAGTCCATGAAAACTCGACTGGTTATTTATTTAAAATGTATTCGATGGTTAATGAAAACTCAGTTTCACATATTAATCTTGTTTTCTCCCGTCAGGGGGCTGTTGTTTACCAATAATCTGAAAAGTCAAAAGTGAGTTCTGAATTAAGGTGATTCCCTAGTAAAAGAACCTAACATAGATTTTAGATGAAACTTGGTACACTGATGCAATAAGTCAAGAAGATGATAAAAAGGTAATAAAAAGTGGGGGTCACCGTGCTCGTTTTGACGTCACAATGCCGACAAATACGGCTATTTTGGACCTTTTGACATAAACCGCGCGCAGCCCAAAACTAGACAAAAAGGAAAGATTTTTTCAATGATGCATATGGTATCGCACAGAATTTGACTTTAATGTATTGTTTATCCACTTACGTACTAGAAAAATGCCTTTTAATGCCCTTGTTTTTACTTTACGCTCCAAAGTAGAATTAAATTGGACACGCGCTATTCGACACGTGATAGCTCAATCCGTACAATTTAGTAAACTTGCCAAAAAACTGAACATAGATTTGTGCCAATTTTTTTCTCACCGAAAGGAAGCACTGTCCTTATTAAAATCATGAAATAAAAAATGGGGGTCACCGTACTCGTTTTTGCGGTAGAGCTGCAGAAAGTGCGCACCAAATGCATTTTCCTTGATTTTTGAGAGAGGACTGGGGCGAGTTTCAATTAGAATGTATGCGAAAAGGGGAAGAAAGTACTAAAAAATCCGTTTTTACAGAATTTACATCGAGATATCACATTTAGGACACAATGTGATAAAGAAAGCGTTTAAATGAAAATCAAAGTGAATAAGCACAAATTAAACATCCACTAACGAGGTTCTCCGTGAGGAAGTCGAACTCAGCATCACGCGTACTGCTTACGTTATGCACATTCCCACCACACTGAGTCTCACCTCGACAAGAAACAACCGCGAGCAAAAATTGCGATAGCGTTTCTCTTCGGTCAGCTTCATTTTAGTAATGTTACTTCACATGCTCTTTTTTACGGAGGCCATCTTGTTATGCGCAGTAAGAGATGCGCAGTGCAAAACCAGGGAATCACCTTAAGTTCATTTGATCACAGACTTTTAAAGGACACAATGAAGGCTTAGTGAAAACTATCAACCTTTGTTTATTAGTAAGTAAAAGTAGCGGCAATAAATTTAAAACAAAGTTGTTTTCGTAACTATCCTGATTGATTGGTGGTGTAAGTTAGCGGTCTCTAGTTAAGGGACATGCGCGCTGGCGTGCTTTGACCCTTGAGATCAATCTTGCTAACCCTTAAATCAGGAGATACTTAGTTTAGTTATCATTTGTATTCTTTCTTTTTAAGATACTTTCTGTATTTATCGTAATCCAATTGTTAAGAGTAAAAGCGTTTCTATTGCAATTTTCTTTAGTCTGTGAGTGTTCTTTTCGTTACATTCCCAGAACGAAAATGGGACGAGTTGACTTGCGCAAAGACTTCTGGGACTGTCACTAGGGAATGACCAATAGCTGACCTGTGCGTCCCCAGTAACCATCCCAGAAACAATTGCGGGATGCATTTCGGCTCCAGTTCCCTTCTCGTTTCTTAAGTGGCGAATTGCAATCTTGTATCAATTCTTCTCTCCCGCCGAATAGGCACTGGTTTTAAAAGTAGAATGGTAGGACTGTGATTACCGTCTCCAAACTGCTGAAGCCTGTGAATTTATTTCCTACTGTTTGACTTTAGTGTAATCCCGACTTTTTGGAGCACGCGATCTTAAGGTGAACTGGCTGATATCTTTAAATTTTTATTTGCAGCAAATATAAAATCTTTGCTAAAGCATTATATACCGTATTTATTCGATTAACCGCCCTTGGCGCTTATTAAATTTTTGGACCTTGAGAGTGGGCGCTTGTTAAATTTTCACCGTTTTCAGCAAGTGAAGTATGTTTACTTTGCAACAAAACAATAAATGCTAATGACAAAACGCGAAGAAGTAACAAAGCAAGGTTTCTGTAAAACATTCTGAAGAAAACTCCGTCCTCGGGGAAGTCTCCTATTAGAATTTATTCACTCAAGTGGGTGGGGTTGGGGTGAGCGCTTATTTGAGTTTGATTGGGAGGAGGAAGGGGTGGGCGCTTATTTGAGGAATAAATACGGTATTTGCCTTCTTTTCTGTCCGATTGGAAGGTTCGAAAAAATCGGGATTCAACTGCTGATCTCACCCCCCCCCCCCAACCCCCCCCCCACCCCCCCCCATTCGTAAAATTACTTTTCTTTGTATTTTTTTTTTTCTCTTTGAATGTTTTGTTTTTTTTTTTTTTTTTTTTATTTTTTTATATATAATATATATATTATGTATATTTAATTAGAAATAAAAAGTAAAAATAAAAATAAATACAAAAAAATACATAATAAAATTGACATTTATAAAAGAGTACTCTATTAATGGCATGAAAAGAGCGTATAAAAGGAGCTTTCACCTGCTCCTTCCCCCCCCCCCCCCCCCCCCCACCCAGAAACAAAGGATTCTGAATACGAGTTTGGGTGTCAGAAGCGAGAAACCTTGGCAGGTTATATTTCCTTTTCAAGTTTGCCTATTAACACAAGCAAGTTCTGCTTGTGGAAGAAAATTCCCCCGTAAAAATGTCGAAAAAAAAAAATGCAACGCAAGACTAGGTGTCTGTCAAGCGGTGGAGTCCTTATCTTTTTTTAATTCCTTTATCTCCTTCATCACAGTTGGTCAACTTAGTTGATATTTCAAGTGTTAAAAACAATTTAAAATTAAAACTACGGAATAATATTGAATTAAAACAAATACAGCAGGCCCCAGTTCAGTCAAACGTTGGATAGCGCTATATAACGGATAAATCCCTATCCGGTTGATAAGTATTAGGGAAACCAATTGCATTATCCTCTGGATAGAGATTTATCCATTGGATAGCACTATCAACCTTTCGAACAACTGGACCATGATCTTTACCGCTATTGAATTCAAATAACTGATAAAAATATAAACTGGCAAATTATAACATATGATTACAATTCCGAACAAAGGCAGTAGTTTTTAACTGTAGAGGACAACGTGTACGAAACAGTTCGAGAAAAAACTCATTAAAAATACGTTTTAAAAAAATAAAAGCGTAAAACATTAAATACTTGATATAGTTACGACGAGGGTATTCAGTGAGGAGTATTACTGAATGTGATATATGTCTGTCGCTGTTTTTGCGGCCATCAAATAAATATAAATCCACTTTTAGAAGGAAACTTTTTCGACCAGACTGACGTCTGTAACTTAAAATCCATCACTATTTGGGCTACTGATGTTGCTTTCAACCTTAAAATACACTGAAACCCAGTTGTTTTACAACCTCATGAGCTGTTACACACAGTTTAGCCCAATGACCAACCGTAAAATGCCGCTAAAAATGAATTTGATTTATTAACTAAAAAATAAAAAACAGTAAATGCAAAACGTATTTTGCTCAGCACTGCTATGGCTTGTTTCGACGCGCTTTCTTCTATTTTTCTGATTATAATAAGAATAAAATGCAAATATAATTTTTTTAGTCAATGTTGCAATAATCGAGGGTCTCAATAGTATGGTAACCTTTTGGGGGCCGACCATTTGATTTCTGAAGGGGTTGGGGGTGGGGGGCTGGCTTGTATGGGTGATTTGGTTTGGGTAAGAATTTCTTTCTTCCCAAACCTCTGGAGTTTGAATTTTTTTCTGACACACAACGGTGTAAGATTTTTTTCCCAGCATTATAGGCCATGAAAGATATTTTTTCAGTGCAAGAATTTTTTCCCTAGGTATTACCTTGCACGATTTTTTTCCCTCGAAATCAGTCTGCAGCATATTTTTTTCTGAAATCACCCATACTCTCCGCCCCCCTCAAAAGTCAAATGGTCGGACCCTTATTATAAGTTGAAATGCTGATAGAGACTGACCTGCAGAAACGCGTCATTGGTGTTTGTATTTGGAACTGATGTATATTGTTAACATAAAAAGGGACTTTGTCATTATTAATAACTAGTAATAACCAAAGGTTACGGAATGCGGGCGACAACGCTCGAAGATTAAAACGCTTTTGCTCCAACGCTTTTCACGTGAGACAGATGGTCAAAACACGCGTGAACAGATTACGAGTGATCGAAGGTTCAAACACGCGTAATGAAATAGCGTTATATGCATTCCATTCATTCTTAGTGGAAGTCCAAACGAATGCTAGCTACATACATGCGACGCATGCGTAATAACAACCTGGAGATTAGGATTCTGGGCTCCTCTTGTCGCCCGCAATTATTATATAATTACGCATGATCACTATCATTATTGTTATCACTACTTATTTTTAAATGGAAATGTTGAAAACGAAACCCTCTCATAATCCAATCTTTGTAAAAATCAGTTGTATGTCGTTCTTGGGGCGTGAAACAGGAAGCCATTTGTACGTCAGATCTTGGTTCGGTATCAATTCCCACTCGTACGACTGAAGAAGATGTTTAGCGAGAAGCTGCAAATATATAATAAAAGCAAGCTCGATTCATTCTATGGCTATGTATAGACAGTGTTATGAACTTGGTTAAGCCGTTAAATCTTTTCGATAGTAAAAACTCCGTAACTGATGAATTTAGTCAAATACTGCCCGATTTACAACCTCTATTTCTTTAACCAGCAAGGGCAGAAGCCTTTCGACTTTCCACCCCTCCCACCCGCCGAAATATAGGACCATCTACCTGTAAACAACAACAAAAAGTACACCCGATTGTTAGCTTCCGTCCAGCTTTTATTTTCTTGAATTTGACGTATTATGACGTTTTGAAGCTTAATTAAAAACCAGTGGCAGTAAACGCAAAACGTATTTTGATCAGCACTTCTATAGCTTGTTTTGAAGCGCTTTTTCTATTCTCGTTATAAGCCCCCTCGGATAAAGGACCCTACGTTTATAAGCCCTCCTAAAACCCCTTACAAAAATGTATAAGCGGCCTTTTACAGTACTGTAAGCTTTAGACTGGTTTCCAGTAGTGAGGGAGAGGGAGTCAGAGAACGTTACCGGCGATCTCGTTCCGATTCCGATTCCCATTTAGCGTTCAGATTTCGCGTACGAACTAGTAAAAACCAGGTTGTCGGAGTCAGAAGGAGCAGCGAACGGCTACAACAATCACATTGTTCGTCCCCGTGCCATGTGATTTGTTTAGTTTTTCCACTTCCGCTTCGGCTTACAAGAATTTCACTGGATCGTAAGCGTCGAAGCCTAAGAATACAGCCCACATTGCGCGATGCCACGCGAAATGACGCCCGAGGAACGAGCAGAGAAATTCCATACTGATGACGTGCCGTTACGTATATGTGGGATAGTGCCTCTGATTGGTTTAAGTAACTGATTTCTCTCGCGGCAAGGCCAATCAGAAGAACCACCCTGACCAAGATATGGGCAGTTCACGTCATCTGTTTGGAATTTCTGCAGTCGCTGCTCAGACGTCATTCAATGGGGAAACCAGTCATGGCCTGGCAGTTTTCTCTAGCTAAGTAAATGGCGAAGGCGCCAAAGTGCCAGAGACACGGATTTAGTTTCGTTATTTCCTCCCGCGGACCATTCCGAAAGATTGCTAGCAAGGAATTGTTAGCAATCATAAAATAAGCAAATTTTGCAAAAGGTACTCAGAATAAAAACTGACCTTGATAATCTTATGTATGAATTTATGTCCAACGCACATCCGGGGACCTGAACCAAACGTCCATACGCGGTCCTTGTCAAGCTGGTTACTATGAAAACAAACGCAGACAATCAGTTAGTATGTTGTATACTGTTTGTGCAGTTAGTGTTAATGAAATAAATCGATAGTGTGTAACTACGTTTTAGGATATTGTATATTTGCCCGATGTTTTACCGTGTATAAATAAGTGATGATAATGATGATGATGGTGATGAAGAGGGGGAGGGGGACGGAACAGGGTGTGGGAAGGGGGAAGGGTTCAAGCCTCCCACCTCCCCTACAATGCAGTCCGGGCTTCCGCCCCTTTTTTTCTTGGCTTCTTCATTGCGAAATAGTTAGTATTGCTGCGTAATTTCCCCTTATTTGTCCCGCTTCCCACCCTTTTAGGACTTGCACTTCCACCTTTTCCTCTCACGCCTTCCGTACCCCTCCCGCCCCCTATTCTTCAGGCTCCCACCCCACTGTTCTCCCCTACCAAAAAACGCAACTGTATGTGAACCTAAAAGGTCGGACGATAAACAGACGTGAAGATTAACAGCGATACAAATTGACCATTTCGCTGTCACTTTTCAAACCAGCGGGTAGATATTGTGCTGCTATTTTCTAGATATACTGAGGATTAACTATAACGACCCACGTAAAGTGCTATCAGACCTTTTTGATATTTAATACAGGAATTAAGAGAAAACCGTGGCCAGGGCGTCGTGGACTTTTTTACAAAAGCACATGAAACTTTCTTTAATAACACTAGAGAAGTGTTCAAGAGGAACTAGCTAAATTCAATATTGTCAAAAATTTCCAACGGCTTAGAAAATCACCCCATGAAACAAGTTCTTTCTTCATAAAATGGCCCATGAATTTAACGTCCTCAAACTGGCGCAGTAAGTAGTAAAGAGCGCGCGTGACGTTAGACGTGTGAAGATATTTTGAACTGTCTGTCCAATCACGGAGTGCTGTTTGTTCGAACAGTTCACAAATATATACTTGAAATACGTATCTCGCAATAACCCTCGCGAAACTCGGTTTCACAGCAATTCTATCTCCATTATTTGCCAACAGAAATAAGAAAAAATAGCTCACCAAGTATCCCATCGTTCGGGTAGAAACTTTTCTGCCTCGGGGAATATCTTAGGATCACAGTTAGCTGCTCTTGTAAGAAATCCAACATAGTGGCCAGCGGGAACTTTATAACCATCTATAATAACTTCCTACAAACAAAAAATGAACACAAAATTTTAACACCCAAAGGCCAGCTCCATAACCTCCCATACAGACGTTCTTAAGACGTCGTCACGCGTCCACTCGGTATTTACAGGTATTGACTTTTTCAGGCGTCTTCTAAAATTAGAATAGGGAGTTTAAGCAAAGACGACGGCGACGCCAACGAGAACGGCATAAAAGCAATGGGTTTAGATTGGCAAAACAACAACTCTGCACGTGCAACAAGCTTTTCAATTTTTGTACATTTTTTAGCCGTGGTTGCACGACTACAAAGTGAAACTTCCTAATTTCACGTTTTGTCGAGGACGGCAACAGAAGACAACAACTTTTCTTTTCTTTTCCTGAACTGTAGTACAATCCTTTAGAATTCAACTCCAAAACGAAAATTTCCAACATATCACGAATAAAACGAGTTGGAATTAGCGCGATAAAGTTTGAAGCAGCGCGAATTTACTTTTTAAGTGACGTTTTTGTAGCCGTTGCCATCGTAGTTGCGTAAGCTCCCTAATATTAGGCCGGGGCAGGAGCTCATTACCTGGAGCGAGTAATTTCATGTACTCATATCACGGCGTTTTCACCGACTGTTTTACAATAATTTTGGCAAGAAATTAGAATATCTTCTTAGCCCCGCAAACCGTGTATCTAAAACTAAACCAGTCCGTAAAAACGCCGTGACATAGGCTCAGTATGGGAGTCGCTAGTAACTCGGGGTTACGGGATCTTCATTAGGGGATCATATTCACATCCCTACGTCTTCACACAAGCAACCAAATCTCGATCCGATCGTGTAGGGATACGATCGCATTAATGAAAAACGGACCACCTTCATGGACCGTGGCGCTAAAAGGTCGCCGGTCAGAAGCGAAACGCATTGAGAGCAAAACTCAACAATGTATCCTTAAGTATCAAAAATCAAAACTTAAAGGAATAAATCTCAGTGCTTACCTGTTTTGCAAGTCTTCGCCCCCCTAAAAACGGCGGCCAGAGTCGTTTCACTTCCAACAGCACATTTTCTAAATATCTATCATCTTGAGCTGCCCGAAGGCGTTTTTCAACCTAGAAAATCATAATGCAAATGTATAAAAATGCTGTTAGCCTACACGTAAATTTACATTTTTTCATGCAGATTAGACAAAAATTACAAGAAAATACATGTAGTAGTAGTACGTACTCGAAAGAGAAGGCACGGATGCTCGTCGTCTCGTCTAGGGGTATGAAGTGCAGATTTTGGTTTTACTTTGGGCGTTTAGGTTACTCCATGTAAGGGAATACGAATTCTGGATCTCGGGAAATTTTTGCTTGTGGAATCCCGATATTCAGCAAATTGTTGTTGCGGAATCCTGAATCCTTGGCTTTGGAATCCGGAATACAGCTCAAGGAATCCACAATTCCACTATCGATAGGAATGCGGAATCAAAGTTCTACTGTTCCCGGCGTGGAATCCAGATCCAAGACTGTCTTGGATTCCTTTACTTGGGGCGATTCAGGTGACAAACACTTGCGTAGCCAGCGAACGCCAACATGTTAACTCAAGCCGGTATCGGTGTGTTACCGAGGGTTGTACGTAAAGAAATGAAAAACTTAAAAGAAGGGAAAAGATGGATAAAAAGCATTCGATGACAATATCTTCATTGTATAGACGATTATTTTACTTACATTTTCCGGTTTTGCAAGTTCGATGCAGAATGACGTCATCAATGACGCTAAGGCTTTTGGGACCAACGCGGATACAAATAACAAAAGGTGATTTGCCATTTCAGCCTTGGATTTAAATTCTGCTTCCCTGATGGCATTAAGAAAGCTAAAACAAAGTGAAAAAAGCTATCATTGTTTATGAATTCACACTTAAACTTACAATAAAGCCCCGTGCAAACGGACGCAACATTATTGGATGTTGCATGTTGGGTACGTTTGCACACCCTGTTGCAAGTATCTTGTAGCATGTTCTTGGGAGTAGTTGCATCCGTTTGCACACCACTGCCAACACTTATCAATCAACCCCCACTCGGGCCAACATCGTTGGGAGTTGTTGCGTCTGTTTGCACGTAGCTTAAGTGTACAGGGAAGCCGATAATCTCAGAACGCGTTCTCAATAGCGACAGCGAATTTCCTTCCTTCGTTCGTAACGCTTCATTGTAACTAAAACATGACTGATTTAGCACACCCGGCCTTTGTCAACCCTTTGGTCACATTTGTAAACGACCAACTGGCTTGCCTTTTGCTAGTTGTTGCTGTTAATTCCCTGGAGAACATCACGTGGTTTAAATTGGAAAAACAAAACATACAAGCTAAAAAGGGCTATTGCGCCCTTCAGTTACACTATAGTCATCCACGTGGTACAAAACCGCAATACTGGAGAGGGTGGGGAAACTGGGACAAGACAACAAAGGAAATTACCAGTATAAAATAATGAGCTGTTTGTTTTTTCTGTCTTTGCTCTCCAACATGGCGATTTTGTACCACGTGAATGACTAGCTTCAAAAGACTTTTGCTACTTTTTGGCAAATGTTGGGGGCGAACACATGGTGTTCATGTGTAGTACATGTGTCAGGAATCACGACGTCAACTTTGATTACTTCATCCACTTCACTGACTTACCAGTGTTTCTCCTCTGCTAGACGTTTATTGATGATGGTCAAAAGACGATTCTGACAATGAGAAATTTAAGGAAAGCTCGTTAGAAATCGTAAAAACTGGACTGAGACCCACCAAAATACCATAGTTTGCTTTCCATCAAGTGGCCATACATGTGTTTACACTGCCGGAAGTAATCTGTAACCAGCCTGCAGTTGAGGCTAAAGTTAATGTTGTACCCAGATCTCAACCTGTCTGTTTCTATCTGACCGTATGAGACCTGGGTATGAGATTTGCCCAATAAGTGAAATTCTACCATAAAGGCCATGAAAGGATGCCAGTTGCACTTCACCAAAATGGTCCTCTACCATCTCGCATTGTCATCTGGACTTAACGAAACTATTAGGAAACTGCCATTTCCCCATTTTCCATTAATTCATAAGATGTTGCAGCTGGGTATCTTAGGCTGCGAGCAAGCTCTTCGAGGGGTATCGCCCCGCGGCCAGGGTGCTCCAGAGAGCTTGCTCCCAGTCTAAGGGTATCTTTCCAGCTAAGCCTTTCTTCCACTTGCTCAGTTTTGATTTACTTGAGAAAGACTCTGCTCATGAATTGAGTAAGATCGTTGTTGAAAATGCACTGCATGTTGCTAGGATACATTTTTGAACCCAGGCCTAGTAGCCTCACCCTTGGTATAGCAAATTCAGTTTATCACTAAACAGATGCTCACAAGATCATCTGGTCCAGCAGTTCGTGCTGTGGTGACCTCAAAGTTTTGACAGAATTCTGGCAGAAGCTTCCTTTTTCCCTCCTCGAACAAGAAGAAGCCAAAAGGAGGCACTGTTCACAGGGTGCAGCCTGAGATACCCCAGCCTTTAACAGTTAGCTGTTATTGGGCATATGTTACACCCTGCAGGCAGAGTCTCCTTTTGATTTCTTGAGTGAGGAGGAGCAGTTGATGCTCTGCCCACAATCTGAACTTCTGGACTAGTCAATCTTGTTTCCTCTCATCAAACTGGGTTTTTTTTAGTGCAAGCAGCCTTTTACTGATAAACCGATGATCATAACTGAGCCTACTGCAGAACTGTCATCTCTCCCGGATAATCAGGGAGACTCCAGATTTTGGACCGTATCTCCTGATAAAAACGGCGTTTGCCATTTCTTCAGTAGACTTGACTTTCCGACAATAAAATGCCCACTACTTTGCGTTGTTTGAGCTATTTTATTGTTAACATCGAACGTTTCCTCATAAACTCCGGTATGCCATTGTAATATATGAAACAATGTGACTGGTGGAAAGTAAACCAATCAGATCAAATGTTGCAATGCTAACAATGTCTTTTTCACAAGTTTTGTGTCATCGCAAATTTGTGACTATCTGAGTTAATGACTATTTTTTGCACAAATGATGTCATGTGCCATGCATTATGACGTCATCTATCATCCCTTTCCCATCAATTCTCAATTTTTGGAGATGTGCCACTATACCAAGTGCACTGCCATTGGACCTGTGTTCAAACTGTTATCCTAGCAACATGCAGTGTATGCTCAACAAAGATCTTCCTTGATTCCTTCTAGAGTACACCAAATTTGAACAAGCAAAAGGAAGGTTGCAGGGTGAACATGTTACTGAAACATATAAAACCTATAGTAACACCCCATTTCAAAGCCATCACAAAATGTATCACAGTTGTCATAAGTTTGTCTTTATGTTAATTGCACCTCAACAACTTGTTTTTAAGCTAAAATTCCTTAGAATAATGCAGATGTAATCACTTTGTACATAATTTTTGCACTGAAATAAGGTAAGTATTGGTACAACAACACGAGCAAAAATTGAGTGAACTGACTATTTTACATGTTTTATACCTTTGCTGACATTGCTTTGGTGTATCCTGATTTATAGCCATACACATTAAAATTCACAGGAACAGAGATAAGTCCTTTAAACGAGAGAAGAAAGAAACACATTGTAATATACCGGTAATCATTATAAAGGCCAAGGTCAAGCTCATCAGTTCAGTTTTGAACTCTAATAGACTGTTATAAATAACTATTTAACCTGTCCAATTAGCACACACAATAAAACCAGGATGTGAGTTGAGTGACTTGTATTTTGTCAACCTAAGCCTTAAGTTGGTACCTTTGTTCACTGGAATGCAGGAAAAGTCATTCTATATTGCATGTATGGTGAAATTTAGTAGAACAATGATTTTCTCTTGAATCGTTCGTCTTTTGATACAAAAATGACAAAAAACAAAATTACAAAATTAGATACCACTTTTATTTTTTTCTTAATACATGAATAATATTGTATGTAGTGTTTGCTTGAGAAAGCTACATCAGATGTATTGCTCACGACTTGCCTTTAATAAAATTTTACCAATTATAGGGCTGTCACTGTACTAAGAGCTGGGGGCTGGAGATTTTTCCCAGCTACCATAAGCATGACCTCTAGCTACCGTCATTAATATAAAACTGAAAACAACAACAATAAAATAGAACCAAAAGACCTTCCTAGTTGCTCAATTCCCTGCCTACTAACTACATCTCACTGGCAACTTAAAATCTTAGGGCACTTTCCAAAAGTCAGAACTGGCCGGCCAGACCATGGTCAGACCAGACATTTTGGCGATGAAATGGACTTTTTCCAAGAGGTTTTGCTGAAAAACCATCCCCTTTGTGCATAATATTTAGAATTTGACAGATCTGGATGATTAATTTTGATTAAAAATGAAATTCACATAATTTACGATGGGAATGGGCTGGCCGGTCAGTTCTGACAAATGGAAAGCTCCGTTAGCGACAGCCCTGCAATCACATTCTCAGCTATGTGATTCTCTAATTTAAATAACAGGTTAGGTCAAAAGCTACAATCAGTGATAAAACTGTTAAGACTTTGTCCTCAAATGGGGCAACTAAGGAGAACAAAACAATCCACAACCCTTCCACCTCCCCTCCATTCAAAGTTGGGGTGTTTGTTGTTTTCTACAGAAAGCTTGAACAGCAGCACAACATTGCATGGAGGGGATGGGGAAGCATTATTTCCCCTTTTCTAAGTTAGCAAAAATTTTGTTAATGTTACTAATTTTATTACCAATTGTACATCCACATGAAATGTGTACCAAATTTTGGCAATACTCACCATGCCAATGAGCTATAGTGAGCTCAGCGATAGACGCTGCTTCTCCTTTTGCAGCTTCAACATCCAAACCCAGGAATAATTGTAAACAAACCTCAGTTGTAAGAAGCTTGAACAGTTTATAAGGAAAAACAATATCCTTGTCTTCAATGCTGTTTAGTAATCTAGAAGAAACTAACTCAACTTCTCCCATAAAATGGGCCACTTCTTCAGGTCTAAACAGATGGTGGAGGGCATTTCTCATCCGTAATGCCTCATCATCACTGTTGAATATTACCAAGTCTCCATACAAACTGTACATGTATCCAAAGTCTTTATAGCCCATGTCTAGCTGGTCTGCCTTGTCTGTGAATGAAAATAAGAAATTTGGAAGAAGGAGAAATCTAACACCAGAAAGCTTAGAAAAAATTTCGAGCTCCAGGTAAGAATCAAACTCATGACCCGCTGCTCTAACTACTGAGCTACTGGAAGCTCTACGGTGAGCAGGGTCAAATAGATTTTTCCACCTTTTTTCAACTTTTGACATGGACAAGTTGGAAAAATCTGTCTACTTTGACACCTGAAAGAGTGCCTTTAAATTAGTAACATTGCCAAGTTTGAAGGTGCATTGTAGAAAACTGATGAAGGTATAACTCCTTAAAGTCGCAAAGTTTTACAGACATTTGTACATGTATGGTAGGGGGCAAAATTGTGCCCCCTACCATACAAACATCTGTAAATTTTTGCAACTTTGCGGAGCTGTATCTCTGCCCACTTAAGACGTATCGCCTTCAAACTTCACAAGTTTACTAAGGTGCTTTTCCAGTGGTTTTGATGGATTTTTCCCTAAATTGTGCATGTCAAAATTTGAAAAAACCATGAAAGTACACTCCTGTCAGTCATAGTGGACTTTATAGGGGACATTATCAGCTGTCCACCAGCGTACAAGACCAAGACTGTTCAATATAAGTTGGAAGAGGAAGGAATCCAACATCAGAAAGGTCAGAAAAAAATTTCAAACTCATGACCCTCCAAGTCCTAGTTTGGATGCTCTAACCACTGAGCAACTATAGGCAGGC